AGTTATACTTATCACATGTTAAATAATTATTTTTTAAAAATTATTTAAATAGATGAGGTGGATAAAAACACGTCATATTCAGAAAAATTATTCGATAACCCTATTATTTTTTAAAAAATAAAACTTTTAAAAAAAAATTTAGACAAAAGTAATTACAACATTATTATTTCTCACTGTTCATAAATATTTAGAGAACAAATCACCTCAATGCTATAAAAAATTTAGTAAACTAGTCTTTGGGTCTCTTTCTATATCATCTTTGTAACTTAGTCACTTTCTCATACCTGGGCACGCTTCCAAAGACTTAAGATCCGTTTAGATAGATACGAGAAAAGAGAAAAAAGAAAAAAAAATAATAATATAAGTTAGGTGAGAAAAAAAAAAAAAAATTATTACTATAATTTTTATTATGTTTGTATATATACATATATATATATATATATAAAGAAATGAAATAATTGATACTATTATTGTCTGTATAAGATGAAGAAAAAAAAAGAAAAGAAATAATAACAAGGAGATTATAATACTATCCTTTTATGTTTATATATAATTTTTTTTTTTTAATTCCCTTTTGTTTGTTTTTGTAGGAATATCTATTTACATAACCAATTTATACTTCAATTATATCTAATTGACAAATTAAAGAAACACGTTTAGGCATCACAAGTTGTCACCCAAAATGGTCCAATTTTATATCCTTGCTATTCATTTGATTTTATATAGAGCACTAGGACAATTTTTATTTATTTTTCAATCCACTAGGACAATTGGGTGAAGTATATTTGTTATGCAGGCTTCTGAGATTCCTTTTGAGCATGCGTAGAAAGCAAATGAATCATCCGGTGACGGCGAAGCTCTATTCTACTCCGGTGATACCCAACAGAAAGCTTCAGACTCCGGTGATAGCGAACCCATTTCGGGGACCATCTGGCAAGCTCACGTTGATTGCAAACACCAAAATCTACGAGCTCGTGTTAGGCTTGAATAATAAGTAATAGGTAGAAATTAAAATTAATTATGAATTAAAGAGAGATTTTTATATCATAAGATTAAATTTTAGATATTTTTGAGATTTTTATAATAGGTCTGAATAAGAGTTTTAAAATCGTTATATATAACAACAACATGGGGGACGACTGCTCTATAAACAAGCATACCTAAGTCTTTCTTTCTATAATGAAAACTTAGATATTTAGAATTAAATCACACCAAATAAGTTTGAAAAATTATAATCTAACGGTATAAAACCATATTTTTAATAAGACCACCAAATTAGAAAGTACAACCCAATCCATCAAGTATCAATAATTGCATTGCAATTCTATTTTAGAAAACGTAGTGCATATGACCATAAAATAATTTTTATTATTTTTATATATATAAAAATTTCCAACACTCATAACAGAAGCCTTCCATTGAAATCGGTGAGAACAGCTCGGCAAAGCTTTGTTCTACCAAATAGCTCCGACGATGATGCAAGGCCCAATTACTGGAGACGAATTCAACTGATGAACCCTATTTGTAATGAGATGGGGACATGAATGAAATTGTTATTTCTTCCATCTAATTAGTTCAAGGCAATTTCAAAATTATAAAAAATTTACTTAACCCATTATCCTTTCCCTCTAAAGTGTTGGTTTGGGATTATTTCTCAACGGTTTAAAAGCGCTTTTATTTTGCAAAATTGCATTTAGATGTGTTTGGATTTAAAACGTTTTTAATAATTATCAATTTGAAGTTTATAAAAACGCTCTGAGTAGAGCTTGAATATTTTACGCAACTCTTTTTCATTAACAATTTTATCCATTGTATTTTTTATAACAATAATTACACTATTCCTTAATAAAAGCATATTATTATAAAATTAACAATAGAAGTGTTTGAAATTATTGTTGGAATAAATTTTTTTTTTCAAAAAACGTCTTTATCTATAGAACTATAAAAAAATTGCGGTCACTAAAAAAATATGTTAGGTGTTTAGTGACATATTATAATAAGTACTTTTTATAATTAAATTATTTTTTAATTTATTTAGTAACATTCTTGTTCCAAATCTTCTTATTTTTTGAGGGGTAAGATACGAGAGATCTCTCGAAATCTCTCTCAATCATTTTCTCTCTCTCAAGTAGTTGGGCTTCAAGATCACAGTAGAATATAAAAGGATTTGGGAGCGTAGAGCATGGCTAACATGTCACGGCAGGATCTAACCCGATTCCTCACTGATTTATTCAAGTTCAAAGGTTGCATGCACAATTTCTTGCTTTGATTAGGAATGCACTCGGATGAATCATTCGGTGTCCCAAACCCTATAATTTTAAGGTGCAATCTCTTTGGAATTTGATGGAAGGAAATGAAAGGAAAATGAAGAAAAGACTAACATTTTTAATTAAACTTTGTTAATACTAATTGTCTTTATTTTTTAAGAAACAAAATTTATAAAATAATGTATGATAACATATAGTAAATTTATTAAAATATTTTATTTTCTTTTTCTTTTCCAAACAAGATTGCTATCATTTCTTTTCTTTAATTAATCAATCAAATATGATAAGTGATTAATAATATTCTCTCATATTTCTTCTTTTTATTTTTCTTCTAACTAATATTATAATTTATTTTCTTTAACAAACATAGCCCAAGTCACGCGTCACTTTTAACTGCTCATATAAACTAGAGGGAGAGAGGGAGAGACTTAAAAATTATTTACGTGCTAACTGCTCATATTGATTTGATCATCAATATTTAATTGTTTTAAACCTCATTTATTTATTTTTTATAAAAACTTAAACTGTTGACCTTCACATTTAACTTAGTGATGAATCATCAGTAGACTCTATGCATCTGTTTGCGTGTTGATTGTGCAAATCACTAATTAACGCAAACAAATGTGTTGATTTAAAGTTGACTTTATTTATTTATTTTTTCCCATGTATTAATTAGTGATTGGGACGCGTGAGTGGGACGCGTGAAAAGCGAGACTCAATATCTTAATTACACATTTTAAAGCATTATCTTTCAATGCAATTCTTGCATGCCAATTAGTAATTCACTCATGATCATGGAAGACCATGTAATGGTTTCTCATGAAAAATGTGGGATCCAAATTCTCCTTAATACAAAATTTGAATCGTTACCATAGAATGCAATTAAGTAAAAAATACAACACCATCAAATAAAATATGAAACCATTATGAAAAAGTATTAATTTGTTATTTATTTACCTTATTAAAAAATACATTTACATACCTACTTTATTTCTATAAATATTTAAATTTTCAATTATTTATTCTAAAAGGCGAGAAAGAATCACTAGCTACAGCTATTGGTGTTGTTATTTAATAGTATTGCAACAGTGTTGCATTTCATGTAATATCATTTTGAATGAATATTAGATTTTTGAAATAAATGAACTGCATGGGCGTCTATATAGTTATTTTATATATGTTTTCATCTTTATTGTAGTGTGTTACATCATCGATCCAAATATCACCGAATGATCCAATACACCGAGAGGATTCAGACCCATGAAACCAAATTCTCCCCAACACTTCAGGCAAGGATCACATGGCTGTTGAAGCACTTCGCCTTTCTTGTGTTTTATTTTTTTATTTTTAATTATCAAATATCTACTTGCTACATTCAGCATGAAACTCTAACCTTGTCGATAATTAACAATTAATTTCATGACTCGTTTTTAGTCAATTGAATTAAGATTTGTAACATTTGTTGATGTCTGACCAAATCCAGTGTTTGGAAACAATTGCTCGGAAAAGAAAAAATTTGGAGAGAAATTGAGATTTGTTGATGTTTGACCAAATTTAGTGTTTGGAAACAATTCTTCGGGAAAGAAAAGGCTTAGAGAGAAATTGTTTCCAAACACTAGGTTTGGTCAAATGAGTTGGAGAGAAATTGTTTCCAAACATTAGCTTTTGAAATTAATTTATTAGGTCAAAATGAGACAAATTGGTCACTAACAAATAATTTTGGATAATCAACTCTATAATAAATGTCTTCAATTATCCCAATAAAGGTTCGGATAAGATCTTTGTTTGATTTTCAAATCCTCCATGCAGCCGTTTGTAAAACCCCCACGTGGTGTGTTTTTTTATGAAAAAAAGGAAGATATTCGTAATCCAACGAAACCCCTTCTCATAATCTGCCAGACAATCTTTCAATTATTTCATAAATTATTTGATGGTTCATGTTCATCGGACACCGAACGAATAATTAAATCTAGACTGCTATAGAAATTTTTTTATAATATATTAATATACTTTTGTGAAACTAATTCCTCAATGGAAGAATCTGAATTGAATTGTTCTAACTAAGTCTCAATGTCAGCCATTTCTTAAAAGCAAAAACTACCAAATAATAAGGCCACAGGTTGAGAAGTTTTTCAGCTCAGTTGTAAATGGAAGATTACACGTGTCTTGTGCTAAATTATAGGTGAGTCTGATGCTATCATATGGTAGACAAAAAAAAAATAAAAAAATAAAAAATAATAATAATAATAATTAATTCTCCCACTCTTAAAATTCATGTTTATTTTTTTATTTTGTGATGTTTTAAAATATATGTCTAATTTCAAAAACGAATGTATTATTATTTTTAATAATATTTTCAAACTATTCTTTGATATTGATTTGATTAAACAATTACACTAATTAGAGAGTACTGTTTTGCCTTTTAACAAAGATAAATTTAGAAATTCACTCTCATAAAAAATTGGATTCTCTTAACATTTCAATAATTTTGAAACAGAGCAAATAGTTAAAAGGATAAAGAAGTAGAGGGTGCCTTGACAGTCAATATCACGGGTTTATAGGCTCCATGCAACATCCTACTCAACATGTGTGTGATACCCTCACATTTTTTACGCATAAGTTGATCAGACTTATACATAAAAAATGAAAGATATCAAAAACAATTGGTAACAAACAAGTATGGAATACAAAATGATAATAATAGAAGAACTTAGACCGGAAAGGAAAGCTAAATATTAAAATATCTATCCATCCTATTAAATACAATACTCCTTTATACAACTTGGAAATCCTATGTCAAGGATTTCTAAATATAAATCTGAAAGTTCAACGTCGGAAATACATAAAATTGAAATCAAAATAATACATAAAGCTTCTACCCTGAATAAGACCGTAAGAGTAGATGAGTTTGGATGGTGGTCCCACACTGCTAAGCCTCAACCTTGAAACGGGTACTGATCGTGTCCTGAAATAACAACAATGGTGGGTCAACCCCACGAGCAAGTCCTCTCTACTATGACCCAAATTAGAGAATCAAATAAATTAATCATTAATATTCGGAAGGATACTATATCTGTATATACACTAATGAAACTACACAATGTATAATATGACCTCAACCAGAATAGACGGTGATCACTTAGACTCACACGAGGTGGTTAAGTGTCTCATTTCCCTACTTGGGAAATCAGCTATTAATACATAGTGCACGGTACTGACAACACAGACTATAAATCCTACACAGTGGTAACACATTTCAAGGTACTAATGAATATACTGAGCATATCACTTAGACAACACATGCCAATAATATTAAACCACATACCCTGACAGCCACACATCTGTCTATGGCAACGAATGCATAAGGTATAAATGAGTCTCAACTTATTAGTCAGCTCACATGGTTCTATATGGCAACACATCCATATAATATAAATGCGATATAATTTATTAAGCAGTCCACTTATTACCTGACATGCACACAGCATAATAATAATGATTTATATTTCATTAACAACATAAATAATCTCATAATGTATAATGGACAATTTATATGAATTAAACTATGTAATCATTTCATTGAACATTAAATAATAACACAATTTGTATGCAAATATGTCATTACATTAATTACATCTGTTTCACAGCGATCCGTACTGTAAATGATACAATTAATGTTTGGAAGTATTAATCGGACATAATAATAACTAACGAGTAATAAAATAATAATTTAATGTCCCGTAAATCTCGAAAATACCAACCTGAGGTCCAAAAATGCAAGTTGAAGGTTTTGGAAATTACAAAACAGTCCCTAGGGGTATTCTGGACTTTTTCAGCAGCTGTAGAGACCCTACACGCGCCTCCTTAAGCTTCCCCCACGCGCTGCCACCTTCCCCACTCTCACACGCGCCTACTGACGTGGCGCTTCCTGGTTCGTTGGTTGCATCAAGTTACCGTGGGCGTGCTGCACTGGATTAATCTATTGATCCTAAATTAATCCTACGGCCATTGATTCGCGCGCACTATCATATGGTGTACTGCACTACACCGAATTGATCTAAAGATCAACAACCCATCTAACGGCCGCTGATCCGTGCTCACACTAACCACAGTGCGCTGCATCACACCGAATTATTCCGGTTGTCTTCCCCATTGCCGGTGACCGGAATCTCGCCAAAAAATTCGCCGAAAATTCCAAAAAATTCCCGAAAATTTCAAAAAATTCTAAAAAAATTCCCTAAAGCCTTAAATAATTATTTTTAGCTATATTTAATTATGTAGGCTAATAACATAATATCTAATACCTTGAATAATTAATATTTCACTAATTTAATAAACTAAAATAATAGTTTATTAAAATCCTAGCATGCTCTTTATGCTCCAAAATAATCTAAATAAATTAAATAACTAATTTATGGATTCAAAGGGGAAAAGTAGATAATAACTTGCCTTATAGATTTGAAACAAATCCGCCGATTGCGTGTAGTCGGGTAAAATCACCTACACCGGTCCAAGCTTCTTTTCTCTCTTTTCCTTTCACTCTTCTAAAATAGCTCACTATTATTTTTTCTTCTTCTTCTACTTACGTGAGTTGCCCTCAATTGAAAAGCTAACAAACTAATATAAATACTAGCTTATATACTATAAATATTACAAATATCTAACTTATATTAACTATCCAAACATTCCCACTTATATTGCTTTAAGGCAATGCAATCTAAGTCCACCCAAATGACATAAATGAAATCCTATCCTAATATCTAATTTACATCATGATATTTGAAACATTATTATTATTATTATTATATAATAATAATACATTACATTACAAATGTACTACTTTAATTAAGTAATATTAATTAATATAAAACATAATCAGTAAAATATATAAACTAACATTATAATATATAGAGCATACAATCAATGTTAAATGCATAAATAAATAAAATTAATTTAATAATTTAGCATACATAATTAAAAGGTGAATAAATTTACAAATTAAATATAAAGAATTAATTCAAATAAACTCTTTAAAAATACGGGATATTATAATGTGCATGTCACTTGTGTGGCGTAACCTCCTCTAATGAGACGTGACAATATGCATACTCGTAAGTTTACCTTAGAGATAAATCATACACCCATTGACAAAATTATACAAGCAACATGAGTCAGCTACAAAGAAAAAAAAAAAATCATGTGGGAAGAATACGAACGAATTATAACCTCTCTGTGTCCCATATAGATATATATATATATATATATATATATATATATATATATATATATATATGCTAATTAATTATGTGAAATAAGACCATAAAATGAGATATTTTAATATCTAATGCCAATTTGAGGCTCCTTTTCATAGGTCAGTAGAAGTAATGCCATTCTAGTTTTTTTTAGGAATAGTCATTTCAGAGAGGAACATTTCAGCTTTCATTTGACAACAAACTTAATAAATTGATGAATGAAGAGCTGATTTTTTTTCTCCCCTAACAAACAGGTGAAATGGACATTTTATTTCACTCCATTCATGGTATCAAGTTGGGTCTTACTACTTATTTGTCATATTTTGCATAAAAAATATAAGATCTTCATCAAAGGTCAATTGTCCCTCTAGTTTTTTTCTTTTTAGTAGTATAGGATTTATAGCCCTGCTTTACCTAAAAAATGGCACGATTGCCCCTTCTAACCCCCTCACATAACTTTATCGTTTTGTCTATGTATTCTGTTGACGTGGTTCAACTTAAGTTACACAATCTTTTTCAACACATGTCGCTTTTATGCTCTTAGCACGCTTATGCTCACACACTCTGTGCGCATTTTTGCCACCGTTTTTATTATTTGTGACTTAATTTTATTACTTTCTTGTTCTCATTTTCAAATTTTTTATCGCTACAGATCTCACTTTGTGTGACTTAAGGTCTAATTACAAATGCACACACAATTTTTAATTATATAAAATTAGAAACAACTTCTTTATGGTAAATCATTCCTCCACTCTCTCTCTCTCTCTCTCTCTCTCTATTTTTCTAATTTATTACTTTCTATTTATTTTGTATCCAAATTTTTACATCATATGAATAAACACCTCACTGTCCCCCGAAATTAGTAGCCCTAATCGGCTCACGAAAAAAAAAAAAGAAAAAAGAAAAAGAATTTCAAACTTAAAATAAATTTAAGATAAAATTTGAAATATATACATGTAGATTGTAGACAAATAATACTCAACCGTCATAATAAAATATATATATTTTTGTTAAAATTAAAGAAAACAAATTATAGATTATAAAATGATATTTATTTATAATTATTAATGAAGACAAGTTTAAACTTTGGTTAGTTTTAAACTCTTTTCACCACCCAACCTACAACACAACCTAACTTTGATTTAAATTCAAATACTCCCAATAGAAGTGGGACGGATAGATTAAATTCAAATCCCCCTTTTTTTTTTTTTTTTAGACTACTTTTCTTTTAGAAAGGGATTAAACAAAAGTCAAATAAATCGGCAAAAAAAAAAAGTTTGTAATATTTTTTAGTTTTTTTCTTGTTAAAGTCAAATAAATCAGCAAAAAAAAAAAAAAAATTTACAATTTAGTATTTTTTATAATACAAGATAATATAATTACCCTTGTTAGAGAATAGTCTCGCACTTTATTATTCTCATCCATCCATTTTTCATTCCTCAAACTAAACGAAGATGAAAGAAAAATATTGTCACGCCACACTATTATTTAAAGAAAAAAATATTATCACAATAACTTTAAAAAAAAAAAAAATTAATTAATGTACCAAAGTGGAAAATCAATAGGCAATATAGGTGGAAAGTGTTGCCCACGCGAACCAGAGGTGCGAGGAGAGAGAGAGCGAGAGTTCAGAGTTCTCTTTCAACACGATAAGCAAAATCGGAGACAAACTTTACTGTTTTTGTATCAGTGGTTTCGTCTTCTGCATCGTCTCAATCATCCTTAATCGGTAAATTTCTCAATCGTCGATTTTACTTTCTATATATATATATATATATGTGCGTGTGTATTTAGGTGTCCCTGGCTGTTAAATTTATGACTATATTTGCTTTTTAAAGATCTGTTTTTTTTTTTTCATTGTGTGTGTGTTGATAATTTTTGTTCTCTCTCTTTTTTCGAATCTGAAAGTTTTTGGAAGCGTGATATCGCAGCCAACAACAACCAGCAGGTTCAGATTTCACTCTCTCTCTATTTTTCTTTTTTGTTACCGTTTTGTTCGCTATGTTTTCGTTTTTTTAATTTTTATAGATTTTTTTTTTTTGATTGAATTTTTTTAACTAATCAATATATCTTGCGACCGATGTATGTTGATTTGTTGAATGAAGTTTAACTACTAAATCAGTGGCCACGCATCAGAAATCATATGCATATTCCTTATTCATCATGTTCTGTTATGTTGTTTTCTTTATTTAGTTATGTTGTTTCTTTTTTTATTTTAGTTCTCTATTGCAATGCCCTGTTAGTTGTTTTAGTAGGTGGGTGAATTGGGACTGTGTTTATTTTTATTTTATTTTATTTTATTTTTTTCTATTTTAAAAATATAGAATTCGTAAATTATATTTTGATTTTGGAGAACATCGAAGTTGATAGAAAAGATTTAATCGTTTTCTTGCTCATATATGTTCATATTAATGAGCAAGGTCTCAGTATGCTTTTCCTTTTCCTCCACACAATGGAAGATTGTTTTTACTGGGATTGGTGTTGATATGGTTAACGTTTTATTTTATGTACTGCTTTGTATTGCAATTAGTACATTTTCATATGTTATGTCTGCTGTTGTCATTGTCATTGTCATTGTCATTATTGGATTTGATGTCAGTCTGCTAGGTTAGCAATGGAATATGAGGAGGAGAAGAATTGTCTTCCAGGGACGGTTCCCGAGTTTGGTGCAATTTTTATGTCAAACATTGCCACAAAGAGAGAATGCCTTAAACGGAAGCTTTTGGGCCTTCCTTCCTCCTATGCTAACTTTGTAAAACAGGTTAAAGCTGGGATGGTTTTGTTTCTTTTTGAATTTGAGAGAAGGGAACTCTATGGTGTGTTCCGGGCATGCTCTGATGGTGGATTCAATATTGCAGCCAATGCATTTACTTCTTCAGGGAAGCAATTCCCTGCACAGGTATGGCTCCGTTAGCTAATGTTCCTTTAAATTTCTTAGTTTGCGGGAGAAGGATTTGTGGATGAAACACAAATTTGTGGATATATTTATTTATGCTTATATTTACCTTCGCCCAGGTTCGCTTTGCCCCATTTTGGTATTGTAGTCCACTATCTGAGCATGAGTTTCGGAATGCTATTAAAGAGAATTACTTTTCTGCAAAGAAGTTCCACTTTGGTCTGTCTGAAGATCAGGTCTACTCCTTAATCAGTTGGTCTTCGATGGATTGGAACACTAGCGTCTGAAATGTTCTTATCACTCATTTTTCTTTTGCTCTATCCATTCAATTGTAGGTTCATAGACTTCTATCATTGTTCAGTTCAAGAAGGGAACATAACAAGCTACCTCCAACACATTTCGCAAGACAAGACATGAATCCTATGAAGAAGCACGGAAGAGTAGTTGATGATGACAATTTTTTGATGAGTAACAGGATAGAAGTCAAGCCTGGCATGGGAAGCGGTCTTGGGCCAGCCAATCTGACTGAGTACCAAAGGAACCCTGAGAATACAGTCGGAATAGTACATGATGACAGGTCTCTGACGAGTGATCGGGTGGAGAATGAGCATAATGTGTACAATGGTCCTTTGCCCGAAGTCTCCACTAAGTATCCCCGGAACTCTTCGGTTAAAATAAGAAGAATAGATGATGATGTTGGCAGGTTTTTGGTGAGTGATGCTGCAGAAAATGAATGTAATCTGGACTATGGTCTTGGAAGGGTTACTTCGAGTGACTCCCTTGGGGATTCCTTGTATAAAGTTAGAAGAACCTCTGCTGATGGCCAGTTTGTGATGAGTAATAGGTTAGAAAGTGAACATCACACGGACAATAATACTTGGCCCATCATCTCATCTGAGTGCCCAGGTGACTCTTTAGGTAGCGTAAGGAGAGTAGCTGATGATGGTCTATTTCCAATGAGTGATAGAGTAGGAGAAGAATGCAATACAAACCGCGATCTTGGGTCAGTCACATCAACTAAGCATCTAGGAAATCTTCTGGGTAAAGTAAGAAAAGAAATTGATGATGGCAGGTTTTTAATGAATGTTGGAGTGGAAAATGAACTTACTTTTGACAATTGTCTTCGGCCAGCCATCTCTGGTAACCTTCGAGGTGAAGTAAGAAGAGCTGCTGACGATGGAAGGTTTTTAGTGAATGATAAGGTAGAAGATGAAAGTCGTGTGGAAAATGGTATTGTTCCCGGGATTTTGACCAAGTCCCTTAGGAGTCCTCTGGGTAAAGGAAGAAGATCAATAGATGATAGGAGGTATTTGATGAGTGATAGAGTTGAAAATGAACTGAATTTGGAGAATGGTATTGCACCGGTTATCTCGTTTGAGCACTTAAAGAATCCTCTTGATAGAGTAAGAAGAGCAACTAATGATGGGTGGTTTTTGACAAGTGACAGGATAAAGAATGAATTTAATGTGGATGACGGTAGTGGGGCAGTCATTTCATCTGATGAGTACTCCAGATACCATCTGGGTATTGTGAGAGGAGCAGCTGATGATGGTGGATTTGCAAAGAGCGATAAGTTAGAGCACGGAACAAATTTCGGAAACCGTTTTAGGCCTGTTGTTTCGAGTGAGTACACTGCTTTATGTCAGGCTAAGCAAAGTCCGTTCGTCTATTCGAGCAATCACAACTTAGAAACAGATTATGCCTTGGTTCAAGATCAAGTTTCGCATTCTTCTGCATATTCTCGATCGATTGAACCACAAAATTTTGACTTCTTTCATCCATCATCGCATGATGCAATTGCTACAAGAGCAGTTCCCTATGATCCTGAAGTCCCCAAGGCTCATTATAGTCACTCACCGTCATTTGGGGTAGATTACAATTCTGATGCAGCACAAGACTGTTCTCGTTACTATGGTTCTCTAAGGAATCTTGCTTCTTCAACTCAGAACCAACTTTCACCTTATCGCCTAGAGTCGAAAGGATCAAGCATGTGGCTGGATACCCCTTCTCGCTATGGGAATAAAGTACCATTGCCTACCACCTCCAACCACCACAATTTCTCCGACCTTAGAACCAGCAATTCTTCGTCATGTGCTGGTTATTCTGAAAACAAGGAACTAGAATACTCTGAGAGGGCTTTTGTGCATTCTTCAAGACGTGAGATTTATGGAAGTGAAAACATGGGTGCTTTATCTCATGCCTTCACCAGTAAGGATCCATCTTTCATTTTTGATGAAGGGGATGTTTCAGCATTGCGAGAAAAATACAAGCAAGAAAATTCATGGGATGATGGTGGGGGAGCATCCCATCTAAAAGACTTTCCGTCCCCTAACAATAGTAGGTACCATTTGCGGCGTGGTGCTTTTTCTTCAGACTCTCAAGTTAACCGCTGCCATGATAAAGATTCAACCAATTATACTATGGAATTCTATCAAAGTTCTGAAGGTGTACCTTGTGATAATCGGAAGAGCAGAGTTAGCGTCTTTTCTCGTTTAACTTCAGCTCCAGAAGTGTGCTTAAAGGAGAATAATACCAATGCATGCCACGATGAAAGTGGTACGGATGTATCTTTGAATGAAGTCGTGAACATGTTAAAGCAGAGTCAGAATCACCGGATGAAGAGGATTAGAAAATCTAATCCTTTAGTTAATCGACACTCTGATGACAAAATTTCTGGGATTAAGAAGCAGACCTCCATTTGCAATCAGTTGGATGACAAACTTTCTGAGATTAAAAAGCAGACCTCCATTTGCAATCAGTTGGATGACAAAATTTCTGGGATTAAAAGGCCTAAGTCCATTTGCAATCAGTTGGAGTATGATCAGTCAAGGATCATGATGAAGATGAAAATCGATGCTAATCTACCTGTCACGGAGAATGGTTGCCAATTGGCTGAAGAGACACGACTTGTAGATTTTAAACGCCGGAGTGAAAAAATGAAAACTCCGGATGGAATCAAGAGACAAGGTAAGGCAAATGGTTCTGTTCATAATGAAGATGGTGAGGGCTTGGTGGATCAGCCGCGCAAGCGCAGAAAGTTGATTAGGCCAGTCTTCTTCAGCAAAAAAGAGGCATTTGATGGAGGAATAAGCGGTGACAAGGCCCAAAATTTGCTGAGGTCGTCTCAAGAACATGTCATTTGCAAAGATAATCCTGGAAATTGTGATGATTCAGTGAGTAGTCATAAAAAAAGCAACAGGAAATATCAAAATGCCAGATTGGTACATGGGGTGTCTCCAACTTCTTGTGAAGGTAACAAAACTAGTGCAGATCAAAGTTCCAAATGGAGAGGAGAAACAAATTCAGAAAATTGTGAGGCATCTCTTAGATGTATTGAAGGCCAAGATGGAAACAAAGTATCACAAAATGTTGACATTCAAAATGCAATTACTCGAACTCATCCTGAAATAATTAATAATACTGTTGGCAGTTTGGTTATTGAGGTGGATGGAGTGTTTGGAGATCTTGTTATGACTGATCACAGCAAGAATGCAGACGAGGCACCAACCCTTTCTGCAGTTATTTATGATGTTGTGGGTGGTTTGGGTATTGAGGATGCCATGGTGGATGAAATGTCTCGAGATCTTGGTATGACTGATCATAGCAAGAATGCAGAAGAGGCACCACCAGACGTACAATACGTGAACACTAACAGTGAAGATGGCAGAGGTAAGGGAAAAGACCTGCTCCGAGGTTTTGAAAATGTGAATCGAGTTTGTCCGATCAGATGTGACACTGCCATGAATAATAAACCAAACAAGAGCTTGTGCTTGCTGGATTTAAATTTGGAAATTGTTCCTGAAGATTGCGTGGGAATGTGCTCTACAAGTGGATAGAGATAAAGGAAACCAATGGCACTAAATTTTGGGACCCGGTAAGCATCTTTTGAAACTGGCAGCTATTTCAATTTGCAAGAACTGTTTGTGTTTAGAGTTTTTGTGCTTCTTCGACATAAAGCATTGTCTGTACAAAGAGAGTTTTGCCTTGAAGAAGCTGTCTTTTGCACAATGCAAGGCTTTGGGAAATATGCTACAATGAAATGGCTGTTTCCGTTATGTTTTCATGTCACACACATACATGTGCCGAATATTTTGGTTAGGTTGTAATTTTGAATGACACGGAATTTGTCATCAGACCAGTAAATCTTACTGTCCCAAAAATACTACTGTGTTATATGAAAAATGTTTGTAGCTTTAATATATTTCTAAATATTTTGAATTCTTTTGAACTAACCTAATGATTAAATTGTTATGGCATCAAGGAAGAATGTTATGCTAAAGAAGCCATATTTAGGTACCATGAGCATTAGAGGTTTAAAATACTTGTTTACAAGCCATATTTAGGTACCATGAGCATTAGAGGTTTAAAATACTTGTTTACAAGTATTGAATTTGTGAAGTCTCTTTTTGGGACTAAAGACAAAAATGATTGGAGAATTGAACTTTGTTTTATACTGGTTATCTGAAAACTGCTCTCTTATCAGATGATTATTGTTGGAATGGTGAAAACGGTACACACATTGGTGACTTATTTTGGGGTTTGATTAGTCTTTACAGATGTTAAATTTCATGCACCTTAGGCAACCTATGATTTTCTCACCCCTTCATCACATGTGAGCCAACAACACTTATGCTGTATTGCACTGTGTATCACTGGATCTCGCTTCTAGAATCTCAGTGTAGTGACTGACATATATATGTATATATTTGGTGTAATTTATTTTTTTGATAAGTAAGTTTGATGTAATTTATAATTTGGCTTAGTTTGTAGTGACTAGTGACTGACGTGTATATATATGAGGTTGATGTAATTTATAATTTGACAGGATAAAAAAAAAAAATTATAATTTGATTTGATTTTAGTGATACTGCAATGTGATAGGGATTTGAAATTGCTATCGAATCAACTTCTCCAGAACTCTAGTAGAATGGAGGAGATATGGATAAGTTGATTTTGTTGTAGGCCCAGAAGGACCAGAACCACACTTTTTTATTAAACTGCCAAAAAGGCTACGAACAAGGAGAAACCCCATTTCCAGAAATTGGCCAGAGAAACAAGAAAAACTCACAATGGGGAAGACAAAACGAGAATTAATTACGCGGTCGTAATTGTGGCTTGCGTATCCAATAGTGATTTATTGGCTGGGATCATCTAAAATTTTTTCAGACAAAACAAACAGGAAAGAGCAAGAACATCCAAACTGTGGTGACATTGTGGGTGGGTGTGCCGTGGCTGGGTGCAAGAGGCATTGACACAGGCTACCAGACTGGGCAAACTACACCACAATTCCACATCGCTTTAGTGCAAGAGGCATTGACACATGCTACCACAGGTGAACTATTACAAGCGCACCACAATCCCACATCCCCAAAGTGTGGAAAGAGGAATTGTTATAGATTTGTATATTCCAATTGATATTGGGCCTTTTGGGGTAAAATTCAAAAACAAAACCGTTTGGTTTGGATTCAAAACGGACAATTGGAGTGGGTTTTTACACAAACCAGCAAGCACTAGCCAACACAGCCACAACCCTCGTCTTGAAAATTAATAGCCCTCTATTTCAACATCATTTCAAATAATTTGATGAGCAGTCTGAATAGGATTAATAGTAACATCTTCATGGAGCTTTTGATTTCTGTTTACTCTATTACTACGTTTGGTGTGTAAGAATAGAGTGAGAATGACCATTCTATTGTAATGAAAATCCATTTTTGGGAATGAAAATCCATTCCACAACTAAATCTATGACAATTCCATTCCAAAGTATTTATTTATTTATTTATTTTTAAATCAACTTCTCAAACAACCCAAATATTCTAAAGTCCAAAACCACCACCACAACCACATCTATTTTTTACCACCACCACTACCACCGCTTTCCACCACCACCACCACTACCACTGCCACCGTCTTTCACCACCAACACCGCCTTCTTTTGCCGCAACCATCACCGCTGCTGTCACCGCCTTTTAGTCCAAAGGCAGACAGAGGGGTAGGCAAAGGTGGGCTGTAGCCCACCCCAATTTTTTTTTTTTTACTATACTAATATTAGCCCAGCCAATATATATATATATATATATATATATAGTATTAACCCACCTCAGCCTTCCACCCAAACATGAAACGTGTTAAAACAGCGATGCGTAGCACGATTGCAGATGAATTTTTGCTGACTGCATGACCATCAACCTTGAACGGGAGTTTGTTTGGAAAATTGACTTGGAATTTATTATTGACGAATTCGAGTCTTTAAAGACTCGTCGAGCACAACTTAGATACATATTTTGTAATATTTGAATTCAAATATTTATCTATATTATGTTATAAATTTTATTTTTATTTTTTGCTTAAGAAATTTTGTTATGAAATTTATGCTTAATATTAGCCCACCCCAATGAGAAATCCTGAATCCACCCTTGCCTTTCACCACCACCACCGTCAACCACCATTACTGCCTTCCACCGCCAACACTGCCGCCATCGCCTTTCACCACCTTCCACAACCACCACCACCATCGCCTCCGCCTTTCACCATAGCCATCGCCTTCTACCATCACCGCCACCTTCCACCACTGCCACCGCCTTTTACCACCACTACCACCTTCCACCACCGCCTTCGATTGCCACTCCCTTCCAATGCCACCACCGCCTTCCACCACCTTCCATCACCACCACCACCACCACCACCGTCACCGGCTTCCACCACCTTCCATCACCATCGCCTTCCACCACCACTACCGCCACCGCCTTCTACCATCGCCACCACCGCCACCGCCTTCTATTATCGCCACCACCACCACCGCCACTACCACTGCCTTCTGCCATCGCCACCACTGCCACCGTCTTTCACCAGTGCTACCACCTTCCACCACCACCACCGCCACCACCTTCTACCACCGCCTTCCGCCACTACCTTCCACCACTGCCACAATCACCTCCATTGGCTTCTACCATCGCTACCTACATCACTATCTCCTTCTACAACCACCACCGCACTACTCCCACCGTCTTCCACCACCACCGCCACCTTCTAACACCACCACCTACATCATTACCACTTTCCACCACATCACCATCGTCACCACCATCCACCACTGCCACCATTTATTTTTTAAAAATTATTAGAGAATACCAATTTGTTAATTTAATTTATTTGTTACTAAGAGGGATATTTAATTTGAAATTTATTCTATTCTAAATTTTAAATTAATCTAATCAAGCACTAGAATAGTTATTACCATTCCATTCCTACATATTTCAATTTACACCCAAACAATAGAATGAGAATGACCATTCCATTCCCATTCCTATTCCATTCCTATTTACATTCCATTTCATTTCTGAAGACCAAATATAGCATATATGTCATAGACTATATGTAAATGTTAATTTCAGTAACTTACTGCAATTGGACTTGCTAGAAGCTTGAGAAACAAAACATTCCACCAACTGATCAAAGTTTCTGACAGAGAACTCCAATCCGAATTGAACAACTCAACCTACAATGGAGATCGAGCAAACTGCAATACAAAATTTGACGATCAGAATAGAATAACTCAATCTACGATCTCCAAATAGATCGAGCAAACTGCAATAAAACAAGAGATGATCTCTGGAATCAGAGCTCATCATACAGTGTTCACAAGAAAATAAAATCACATCATACCTAAACTGAAAGGACGAGGCTTCTTACCCTCCTGCAAGGATTAGAAGAGAGGGAGGTCCTCGTTGACACAAGAGTTTTAGTTGGTTTAATTACAGTTTACAAAAATATGAACAATACTGAGAAGACTCCTTGTTGACTTGACGAAAAAAAAATTCAGGTACACTCGGGACAATCATGGATGTGGTGGCCGCTTTAGTTGATTTTATTATTGTTTACAAAAATATGAACAGTACTGAGAAGACTCTTTGGTTGACTTGAGAAAAAAAAAAAATCAGGTACACTCGTAACAAGGGCTAGGATGACCTCGGGATACCATACCCCGGGGTACTCAATACTTTCTCCGAAGGAAGGTAATGCCACACTAGCGATTCTCCTTAATATTTTTAACAATTAGAGGGAGAATCATATATAAGGATGCTGAAGAAGTCTTATACACGCATCATTACTTTAAACTCTACAATTAATAAGCATTAGAAAGGGAAAAAATAAATGACATGAACAGCTAGAGATGGCACTTTGAATCAAATACAAATTAAGTAGCTACAAAATATTGGGAAGGCAGATGACATACCTGGCTTGAGTTGGTTGATGAGATTGTGAAAGCAGCAGATCGAGAAGCGGAGTCAGGAAGATAAGAAACAGCAAGGTATGTGGTGAATGCTTATATTTTTTAGTTGAAGCTAATGTGAAACCATGACTCAAAAATTCAATAAAGCAAAAGAAACAGCATTGCACCTTCTAGGAAGTTGCTGGGATGGCACTTCAATTGCTAATGGCTGACTGGTTTGCCCCATTTCAAATCATTTCCGCACCCTAATTGGTAGAGATAGCCCATGCATAGGGTAAAATGGATTGGCAGCAGTTCGATCTTGGGTTAGCCATCAACCATCCCAACCTAACTTTCGCAGCACCACCCAGCCTTTAGGGAAGAGTCATCAAGATTTAAAAGCATTCTTTCCAAGAACATCAGCCTGCTAACACTGTAAAACCATCAATATCATCATTCAAAACAAGCATGAACTGATCCAAATTGAAATAAAAAAACACGACTGTACATGTACCGAGTACTAATCTGTAACAAAAGTATCTTACATTACTTTGTCACAAACATGTGGATAACAACATTAAGTGCCGTAAACAACTTTAAACGTAGTTTACAGAGTGCTTAAGAAAACAAGTCTGCGAAGAAGTCTAATCAAGCTGCAATCAATATCATCCAATTAAAATCAAATGTGCCTCCTGGACTATTTTGTCAAATCTGCCTAATTACAGAACTTTCTATATTTTATCTATTATGCGCAGAATAAATCAATGAAGAGAAGAAGATAAGTCCTAATGTGAAGGGAATACATGCTAAAACAATTTAGACAAATAAGTCAGTGCTTTAGAACAAGAATTATGTCAATTGGAAGAGAACGAGCATCCTCTACTTGTGAACATTACAATGTTATACCCATGGTTGAATGGAATGATTTCTTAAAACCTGCTACTACTGATACAGCCAAATTTCAGTGACAAGCTTTCATTTTCTTTGTTTTTGGTTCATCGGGAAGTGCATTCGCCCTTGACCACAAAGAACCTCAACCTTTTCCCTCAGCCAGAACAGAGGGAACATAAAAAACAAAAGAAAAAGGAAGCATGCTGGATGGCTTAATAGCAATAATTGAAATTAAGATGCAACTCTACTGCAAAAAACATAAAGTAAATATCGGAAAAGAAGCTTTCACAGAGGTCAGAAGACTCAACAGTGATTTTAGTAACTGATAACAGAGAATATAAAGAAGAATTCCAATACAATTTGGGGAGTTCTATAGAAGCTGAAAGATAAACATGCCAAGGGAAGTCTGCCTGAAGGAAACAATTTGTACCAAAATATATATCAAATGAGACCAATCACCATTTCATTATTTGTTTCAAAAATATCATTCCAAAGTTACAGTGCTACATGTAGCTCCACTAACAAACTTGAGAAGTACGGGCTTAGTATTCTTGCAGGCCTCCGAGAAGTCTTAAATTATCAATAGAAATCTCTCTATACAACAATATGGGTCTGAACAACATTGGGATACCTTCGTAATGCTACAGAAGCTCAAGCATTGGAAACAAATGAAATAAACTTTTCAGTACATTTTGGCAGACAATTCATTTGTTTTGAAATCCTTTCAGACAATTCAGAAACAAGTGCATATTTGTTGCTACCATAAGATGCATTCATGAATGCTGCAAGGGTTATGTGATCCACGTTCTGGTCTTTATCTAACAATTTACGGAAGAAAAATGCTGCCATGTCCACTTTACTCTCACTACAAAGCTTTCTGACTAAAGTATTAACCGTGCGGATCCATAGCTTTTTCTCTAATCTGTCTAAGATAACCATTGCAGTTTCAGATTCATCCTTCTTGCAATATTCGTAAGCTACTGTCAGCCGAGTAACTTCACATGGGGAAAGTCCTTTGTCAATCATGGTATCATAGAGCCTACGAGCGTCATCCAACTTGGATTCTTTACAGAGCCCACTTATCAAAGCACCATAAGTGATGCTATCAGGTGCACAATCATGGTCACTCATCCTCTGAAACAACTTCATAGCCAAGATGGCATTGCCATCTCTACAGTGTCCACATATCATAGATGTATATGTTTTCTTGGTCGGAACTAAGCCAAGTCTGACAGCATCATCAAATAGACGCTCACCCTCTTTCATTCTCTTTTGCCTACTAAAGGCGGCAATTAATGTGGTATAGGAATGCATATCAGGTGTAAGGCCAAGTTTGACCATCGTACTGAAAAACACAAGGGCATGCTTAGTATCGCCCCTCTTACAGTGCTCAGATATGAGAATTGTATATGTTACTCTATCAGCATGAACTCCAGTTTTATAGCCTCTCTTTAGCAATTTATAAGCCTCTTGAACCCTTCCTTTTTTACAAAGCCCATCGATAATTGCATTATATGTATAGATACTGGGAGTGAAACCTTCTTTATCCATTGTATCCATCAACTCATATGCTCGATCAAAATTCCCTACTTTACAGTGCCCGTCAATGAGAGTAGTATACGTGTTGGTGTTAGGAACCAATCCCTGTTCCTGCATTCTGGCAAATAACATCTCTGCCCTATTCAACTTGTTCTCCTTGCAATACCCACTGAGCATGGCAGTGTATGTGTGCACATTGGGTTTGTAATTATCACTCCTGACAAGCTTAAGGAACAATCTAAATGCCTTTTCGGTCCACCCCTTTTTACAGAGGCCATCAATCAACGCCGTATGTGTATAAACATTTGGTTTCCAACCTTTCCTAACCATTTCCTCTAACAATTCAAACGCTTGCTTGATACTGCCCCTCTTGCACAACCCATTAATCAGTGAGGTGAAATTGATCAAATTTGCAGTCAATCCCCTTTCAAGCATCTTATGAAAAAACCACAATGCTCTATTCACACTCCCCTTTTCACAAAATGCAGTAATGATCAATGTACATGTTGCATTATCGACGAGAAAGCCTCTCTCCAGCATTGCACTCAACCACCTATCTGCCTCCGGAATTCTACTCATTCTGCAGTATGCAACAACCATTAGCTTAAAGCTACAACAATCAGGACATACCCCTTTATCAGACATTTCATTGAACACGTTGTCCGCAATTTCAATCAAGCCCATTTCAGCAGCTATACCAACAATGCAATTCAGGGTCCTAGTATTTGGAGTCAAGCCCTGGTTTTGCATCTCAATAACCATATCAACAGCCTCCTTCAACCTCCCAATTTCAGCAAAACTCCTCACCAGACATTGCATGACTTCATGGGCTCTCTCCAAATTGCCATTTTGAATCAAAGACATTGCCAAAACAATATATAACCGCATGAAATGCCTGAATTTCGAATAGCCGATTGCCCAGTAAAAGAAGCTCAAAGCCGCCATTGAACCCACCTCGTCGGCGAGCGAAGCGACGACTGTAATCGCTTGCTCAGGAGTCAAATACCCAGAATCTATCGTCAGGTTTAGCTTGGGAGGTGTTGATTTGAAATGGGTTTGTTGTTGGTAGTAAGATTGACAGACTAGAGAACATACTGTTCTGACAACAGATTCTGATGATGATGGTGATGATGAAGACGAAGTGGGGTCTGTTAAACTGGTACTAGAACTATCATCAGAGGTCCAAAACTCACGTCTGAAGCTGCAGAGAGAGTGCGGTTGGGTGTGGAAGAGACTATTGAGGATCGTTGTAGATAATATGCGCTGATGTTGTGAGTGAAATTGGTGCAGAGGAAGAAGAAAACGAAGCGTCACCATGAAAGGGGTTTGTTAACGTAGTACTAAGCGTTGAATTTTCAAGCTAGCTCTCTCTCATACTTAACTGATCTTCTGTACGAACTCAATGTCTATGCCTGTTAGCAAACTTTCCGTGGAGAATCTTCAGAATCTGATTCAACATATATATCTATATACATATATACACACACATATACACATATATGGGGATAAGTATACAGAACACAATGTTTAATTAATTAATTAATTAATTTATTTTTTTGCAGATAAAAAGGTTGCAAATAAAGGATTATCCGCACAAAACGTTAGAAAAGTACCGTTATAAACTACACATGACTAATTAATAGTAATAAATACTCAAAATGCCCTTTTGAAGTCCTGCCTTGTGCCCTTACCCATTTTCTATATAAATCTCATTCTCGAAAATGGTCATTTTACAATCACCTTATTTTACTTCAAATTAGTAGTTTCATCACTTTATTAACGACCGAGAGGACCTATTTTTTATTTCGGAGAATAAAACAACTGATATATATAAAGGTAGATATGTACAAAGTTGGGGCCTTAGCCCAATACATACTTTAAGTAAAAGCCCACTACGCAAAATATGCCCAAAAGGCAAACATAGGGCACAAACCCAGCCAAATAACACAGATGAGGAACAATAACTGTTAATAACAGTTAGTTGAGCTCATTAGAACCATAATCCGATATCCAAATTAAGCAGTGCAACTTCATAGCTTGTTAATCCAGGTCTGCAGCATGATGGAGGAAAATTCCATTCAAGTAGAATTCTCCTCGAAGCAGCTAAATCTCTAAAGAAACAAAGTCAAAGAATTGAAATGATAGAGGAGTTAATCTTGGCGAGGACCACTCTCGGTGAACAATTCTTTTTCTTGAAAATTCTATTTCGTTCTTCTCAAGTGTGGTAAACTACCGAGGATAGACAAATTTTCCTAACCATGTTTTGTGGTGAGTTGGACTTTCACATGTGGCTGGTGAGCATAACCAAGTTGCTCCAGTTTGTAATTGCAGTTGAGAAGTGGCATTTGTCCTTGATATACCTCCATATTGGTGAAATGAAGGGGCAGCTAAAGAAGAGGTGGTCATGTGATTCCAGAGAATTAGAGCAAAGTGTACACACATTTTGGTGCTTGGTCATGGATTTGCTGTCAAGAGTAGGCAATCTACACTGAACTACCAGCCATAAATTAAATTTCATGCGTGGTATAATTGGGAATTTCCATACTAGGTTATACCATGAAATCTTACAAAATTGACCTGCTAAGAGGGCTGCAGTTTGTCTGAAACAGTAGTGTCCAGTGGTTGATGCAATCTAGATCTTCTTGTCATTGATAGCAGGACATGGAGGCTGCATGTGAATTAATTATGGGATTTGAGCAACGATTACGTGAGGACCTTGTTCGCCCCAAAAATGATGATTACGAGTTTTTGAGAACTTATAAAGGTTATATGTCCTATATAAGAGTGTTTTTTAGACGCGACCCATATATAAGTTTCCTATTTGTTACATACGGCCTATGCAAAGAGGCCACATAATAAAGGTGACACGCGATCGATAAGGAGAACTGTCCATGGCATTTGAATTCTAGAGTCTCACTAGTAAGAAAATGAAAAATTTAAAATATTATAGAGCTAAGAACTTAAAAGTTGGAGAATAATTTACAAAAGTATAGAGTTTTGGCGGGATATAAAATATCTAAATGGTTGAATGAAATGTTCTAAAAAGTGGATCAGAGCTATTGATGGTAATGGATAAGAGTGGTAAATGAAAGAATAATGTCTATATAAAGAGCTATGTGTCATTTCTAGTTTATGTAATCTTAAAATTATGGGTAGAGATGAGAACACTAGCGGAAGCGTGATATACCACTATCTGAGTAGTAATAAAATTCTTGTGGACATGTTGTGCGCTATAAGACTTCTGTTAGCGGGTTATATTACAGCACACAATATACTGTCATAAAAAAAAAAAAAAAAAAAAAAACAAAATGGCTTAGATAAGTTCATTTTGTAATGTATTGGGTAATAAAAAATAAAAAACTAATTTTAAATAAACATGTTGTATTTCTCAAACTTGTAGGTTGTTATGAAAGGGCTTTTTCTTTTTCTTTTCCTTTTTTTTTTTTCCTTTCAATTTTTTTAATTTTTTAAATTCAAAACTTGAAAATAAATAAAAAAATAAAAATTCACAACGAGAACTCAGAAAATTAATTCGTGAAATGATTAAAATACAAGAAAATGATATTTTAAAATAAAAAACACTGCAAAAAGTTAATTATATTCATAAACATATTTAAGATGTATAAAATTATTAATATATATAATAGTTAAGTCCAATTTGAATTACACTGGTCTCTTAAATTTGGGATCCAAGGACATTTAGTTTAAAATTTGAAGCCAAACATAGCATGCTTGATGTATCATTTTGATTTCAATCAAAATTAAGTTTGAATTAAAACATTTCAATCCAAACTGAAAATTTTGAACTAATTTTTGTTTTTTTTTTTTTTTTTTTTTCTGGGAAAATAAACTAGGTTTGAATTGACATGCTTAACCCTGCACCCACATAAGATCAAAAAGCTTTATCATATTATAATATATAAGAGAATGAATCCCAACTTTTATGCCATGAAACCCAAGATCGGTAATCCAGTCTTCGTCAATTAAACGTCGTACACTTTCAGGATTTTTATTTTTTATTTTTTTATTCAGCTTTTCTGGGTGTCACGTGTCAGTGGAGTCATAGGAAACTGAAATTGAATTCTCTTGAATATACAATTCAACACAAATTATACAATTAAATTGAAGATAATAATACTTTCAAATCAAATATGCAACAATCATTTAAATGTGTTAAATATGCAGTGTTATATTTCGATGTAATTATTATATATAGACTGCTAGGCCTTTTTTTATTTTCAAAGTATCTACATGCCTCCATTCATTGATTACAAACACATAATGGCATTGAATTTAGACTTGTTGATGCTCGGAGAAGGAAAAAAGAATTGGAAAGAATCTGATTTCAAACATTTCATCCTCGAACTATCTTAATTCTAATTATTATTATTTTTTCTTAATTTTCTTTATACGTCCATCAATAAATCATGAAATAATGAAAACAATAAATAATGCATTCAACTTATCACAAACAATGACATGTAACAATGTGTGGCACACATGCACTGGAGCAATTGAAGTGACTAGCGAATTGATAAATCAACATAAATTCAATTTGGGTGAAAAAAACTTATGTTGTGATTGAGTCCGCGCTCTTGGATTTGAAATTAAAAAAATTTTAGTTTAAAATTTTAATTATTATTTTTTTATTTCAAATCCAAATCATGAGTGATCCAAGCATATCATAAACTCCAACCAAACCCATTCTACATTCAATCAAACTGGCCAAATTAAAGATTTTATCTTTATCTGGTTTTACTCAAAACCATGTTTTTATTTATTTATTTATTATTTTTTTGAGTGTGTTTTCTTCATTCTAGGCTTATATTGATTGATACTTCCTCTTAACAATGTGACCTCCCTTAGTATGTTCAGTTTTTGTAGAAGATGGAAAGGAGTTTTGAATTCCTATGAGAACTGTTAAAGCATGCTTGAGTCGGTACATCCAAGATCAATTCTAAAATAAAGTTGAAATTGACATATTTTTCGAAATATACAGGGTATTTGTGCATGTGCTTGAACTTTAAAATAATAATAAAAATAAATCTAAGGTTAAAAAATAGCTGAGTCCACCCAAAATGAATGAATCTAACGAATAAAAAGCAAGGACACTGCTAGCCTAAAGAATCCACCAAAGAATAAAAGTAAGGTTAACAGAACTTCTTAATAAAGTAAAGTCTCAAATAAAATTCTAAAAGCATCTTATGTTAAAATATTTTTTTGCGTAAAATATACACAGTCACGTATGATGTGTAATTTTTTTATTTTTTATTTTCAGCAATGTATTAAGATATACTGTTATGTTACCAATGTATAAAATTATTGTGTATTTTTCACAAAATTTTTACACAGCCACATCAGCATATTTTTTTTCTTCTTCATTTTTCTCATTCTATTAACGAATCAACCCATAAGTTTGTAAAAATTATGTGGGTTCAGAAATGACACTGATTGGTTTTTATTGGGGAATATATTTTTATACAAAAAATATAAAACAACCGCTAAAATTGAAAATAAATAATTCAAATTTTGTGTGTAAATCTATTATAACACATAAAATTTATACAAAAAAAAAAAAAAATATATATATATATATACACACACACACACAATTATTAGAGATGGTCTAAGGAAAAAACATGATTGTTTTAAATGATGAGCAAGAGTTGTCTAATATAAAAAGGTTTGATGGTTGTTTATTTAATTAGCAAGCATAAAACATTTTTTCTTCTAAAAGTCAATTGTGTGTATGATTGTATCTTTTTGCTGAATAGAAGATATTCTTAACACATTTGATTAACATTTGAGCATTGATTCCCTTCAATTTACATGTTCAAGGTACTTTGCATCCTTAATTATAAATGATGAATATATGACTCACCGACACATTTTAACATCTGATAATAAAATAATGAGTACTATATTAGAAAGGATCCTTCAAAGATTTTTCTAACTAACAAGATTATGATTTTCCCAAAACCAAGGGTTAGAAAACTGTTGATGTAAGTCTAATGTTAGTTTAGTGTAGCATTAATTTTTTAAATATATAAGATTGTTTGTGTACCTGAGGGTACCTGAGGTGGTTATTGTTTAGGGATTAATAAAACCTCCCTTATTTATCAAAACTATCACCTAACCCCGTCATCTAAAGAAACAAATTCTTTCTTAACTTTTCAAAAGTGTATCACATTACTCTTATCTCGTTAGTTTGCCGTCTGAAATTCACGGGGGCAAGGCATGTGAAAGTCACAGACAACCATTTAATTACTTATTAACCAATTTGCCCTTGTAACATTTTTTTGTTGATATCGATGTGTATTATACCAATATCCATTAATTGAGTTTAAAGTAATTTATTATAATACTAAATTAGAATATATTATTCTTTTATTAGCTAAAATTTGCAAACATATATAAAAGTAGAACTTATTGGTTTTTTTGAATAATAATAATAGTAACAATTGATCTTTAAAAAGCGAAAAAGTATGACTTTTTTAGAATTTTATCTATTTAGCTTTTTGGGGGTGTTTGTATGAACAATGAAGTTTATTAATGATTTAATGAAATAATTAAGTTTACTAATGATTTAACAAAAATATGAAAACAATGAATCAGAGGTTCAAAGGGCAACTTGATAGTTTTTGTTAGTTCAGGATATTATAGTCATTTCATAATAACTTAACGGTTCCGTCACGGAAAGAGTCAAAGGGGGCAACATGATAGTATTTGTTAGTTCAAAGAATTTTTTGTTAATTAAAGGAATTATATGGCGTTTTTGGAAATAAGAGGGAGTTTTACGATTTAACCCCTTTAATTTATGAACAAGTGTTCAATATTCTCTAACTTTATTTACAATTCAAGTCATTCTGACCTTTAAAGGCATGGAGGTTGAAGATGCTTTCCCTTCCTCACATGGACCCTTTGCTTTTGCATGATTGAAGGATTTTTCAACAAATATCAAAGAAAAGCTATTGTGACCAATGGTCCCATGGACATCCCAACTTGCTCGGTCCATGTAACAACTGTAAGGTGATTGAAATACACACACAGACACACACAAGTTCACTTAAAAATTGCTCCTAATGAGATTTTAAGATGCAGTCTGTCACCATATCACTTTCCTAATATTTATATTAGTTTTACAATTGAAGAGTCCTTAATTGTCAAAGATTTTGATAGGGAAGAAGTGTCCAAAAGGGTGAAATCTTGTAAAAGGCATCACATGCTTGCTCTACCATAGGACACACCATCATTCATTTTTACACTTGCTTCTGCCTCCATCATTTTTCTTCTGTTACATGAACATCCTACACATTTTGGTCAATGATTTCATTAAATTAAGCCTACCATAAGACAATTTGTTCAAACACTAGCTTTATGCTTTTGAAAAACATTAAATAAAAATTAATTCTAACATAGCTATATGAGAATATTTGGCAATGAAGTCAATTGTATTTTGTTCTACTTTTCTTTTTCTTTTTTTCTTTTTTCTTTTTTTTTTTCTTTTTTTTTATTCTGCAAATTAGTTTTGAGGTGAAGGTGGTTTTCTAAGTATATATCATCCCAAAGTCTGGACTCGTAAATATATCAAATTCTCTGCTCTTTTTTCACCCTAATTACATGTGTAAGAATAAAAAATAAAAAGTCATTCCTATTCCGAAAGTAGCGCAATAGTAAAATTGTTTTATTGTGATTTGAAAGTTACGGAATCGAAATAGAAAACAGTCTCACTGCATACAAAGAGAAAACATTTCGTACATCAAACCTTCCCCAGACCCTACAGTTACGGAACTTCATACACTGGGATAGCCACCGAAAAAGATTAGGAAGTGTGAGAGAATTTGATGTAATAAGCTTGTGTCATATACAATTTGGAGTACAGCAAAATAATGTTCCCTTTGAGATCCCAATGAACTTGTTTATCCATGGCACAAAATATAGAGAAAGTATTAGTTAGAATTGTACAATTTTTTAGTATATGAACTGGAATAAAGAGAAAGGGCCACCATGGCCATCATTTTAAAAGCAAACAATGATGGATATGGAATTATGTTAACATGCAGGCCATTGTCCACCACAGGGAAATAGTACTATAGAAGAATCCAATCTCTCTCTCTCTCTCTCTCTCTCTCTCTCTCTCTCCATAGCTTCAGCTACTTCAACTTATATAAGAAATTAACTGTTATAACACACTAGGACACAACACTAAGAGCAATAGTCACAAAATGCAGAAGCTGTATTTTCCTCTCCTCTTTCTATTTCTTTCTTGTTTCTCTTCTCTGTCTCTTTCATTTGACCAAAGCCAGCGATTCAACCAAGCCAACAACTATGAAGGCTCTTCTGACCTTGTGGACCTTCAATACCACATGGGTCCAGTCCTAGCAGCTCCAATCAACCTCTACATAATATGGTATGGCCATTGGAACCCAACCCATCAAGCCACCATAAGAGACTTCCTCTATTCCCTCTCTTCTTCAGCCTCTTTCCCTTCTGTTGCTGACTGGTGGCGAACCGTCCGGTTCTACACTGACCAGACAGGCTCAAACATCACTGGCAGCATTGCCCTGTCTGGGGAGTTTTATGACACAACTTACTCCCATGGAAGGTACCTCAGTCGCTTAACCATCCAATCAATAATCAAAACCGCGACCACTTCTTACCCGCGAGCTCTGCCTCTCAATTACCGCAATGGCCTGTACTTAGTACTGACCTCGTCCGATGTTCAGGTCCAGGACTTCTGCAGGGCAGTGTGTGGGTTCCACTACTTCACTTTCCCAGCCATTGTTGGTGTCACTGTGCCATATGCATGGGTTGGTTATAGTGGCACTCAGTGCCCGGGCATGTGTGCTTATCCATTTGCGTGGCCAAAGTACTCAGGGAAGCCACCACCAGGCACAAATGGAGCCAGCAACATAATGGGCGCACCAAATGGGGATGCTGGTGTCGACGGCATGATCAGCGTGATCGCCCACGAGCTGGCAGAGGTGTCGAGTAACCCACTCGTGAACGCGTGGTACGCGGGGGATGACCCGACTGCGCCCACCGAGATAGCTGATTTGTGTATGGGTGTGTATGGGTCCGGCGGGGGTGGTGGGTATGTGGGTGGAGTGTACAAGGACCACTGGGGAGATGGGTATAATGTTAATGGAGTGAAGGGGAGGAGGTTCCTTGTGCAATGGGTGTGGAGTCCTGTAAAGAGAAGATGCTTTGGTCCCAATGCAATGGACTAGTTCAATACTTGTGCCTTGGACATCTAAGTAGGCAAGATGAGATGCTAAAAGACATGGCAATCAAATGGACATAAATGATCAGTTCAGGGCTCAGAGGAAATAACCTCCAAACTATGTAAGTATTATGGTTTTTCAGAGAGTTCATGCTTGGTTTGTTAAATTTCTAGCTGATTTCTATTTTGCAACGAGGGGTTGAAACATTGATAGTCATGCTTGACCAAGCACAAAATCTATGTAAAATTTGAATCTCTCTGTATTAGGTGTAATGAATCATATAAATTTGGTATTTGATGGCACTTGACAGTTGATACTGAACTTCTCTCGCTTCTATTTCCTTGGGTAGGTTGATAAAGCTAAATGTTAACTTAATCCACTGAACAGCCCCACGGCATAATCCCGAAAATTAAGGTGACCAATAGTTCTTTGAAAGGTTTTTATTAACTAACTGATCATGATATAGTAACTAGCCAACAAGGGGTATTGGGTCAACATAGTTGCCTTTGAAACAAGTAAAACTATATACAAAAATACATACATACATACATACATACATATATATATATATATATATATAGAGAGAGAGAGAGAGAGAGAGAGAGAGAGAGAGAGAGAGTTTTCAGGTTTCCAACTTTCCATTCAAAAATGATTTTATTTATCTATCAACTATAGGTGTCCCTTGACCAAAATATTTATATATATAGGTGTCGCTAACTACAGACAAACACAAACATTACATGTTCACAAAAAACCAAAAAACCCACTGTTCCTCTCTCCAATTTGAAGAGATTACGCACTGGTCCATGTCCAGTGGCACTGATGAGTATAGACTCAAAGCTGACATTATTGTAACGTGGCTTGAGCTCACTGATCTGGTCTACCAAATAAGTGAGATGATGTGGTGGACATGAGCAACCGAAGCTTGGGTATTTCAAAAGCACCAGGCACACTGAATGGTTCTAACATATACACACATTCTGATTTAACTCTGTTACAACACATCAGAGTAGCCATGTCATTGGATGTGAAGCAAGGAATCTAGAAAACTCTCAACCAAGCCCTTGCACGGATTCCATTTGCAGCTAAAAGCTGTAAGATTCCTTTCTCTTCCATGTACGGCTAGCCCTGTGGTTAAAGCCATTCAAATCAAGATATTGTTCTATTTTAGCTTTAAAAACAAGCATAAAGCACTACACATTAGCAATGTTTGGAGTAACATTCAACAAGATGGTTGCCTAGAAAAGTATCATTTTAAGTTGAATATATCGGTCCCTTTTTACACTCACCAACAATAGTTTCTAGGACACCTAATTGCAAAGGAACTGGAGGAATATAAACTATTGTCTTCTAGTATCCTCTTACATGCCAACAAGGTAGCCCAGAATAACACCAATGCATCGTACCTATGGCTATTGGTTCTCTCCTTAATGTGCAATTATCTGCTAGCATGACGTATACTGCTGCTACTCGCAGGAAATTTCATGCTTATCTGACATCTATGTTGGTTAATGATGAAAGTTCACTAACAATCAGAAAATTTTAACTTTCCATCTAATTTAAACCATATCAGGAGGATGAAAAGGAACAAGCAAAAACTCCAAGAAGAAATAAGTGAATTTATTCAAAACTTCCTTTTGAACACATCAGTGAAACACAAGAATTGCTTCTGTGAGAAGAACAAAAAAAAAAAAAAAAAAAAAAAGAAGAATTCATTGGTCCAAGGTATTTAGGAAACCACAATGGCTTGGCAGTACGCCCTGAAATAAGATAAGCATGGATGCTCCATTTTGCAGCTGGAATACTGTGCAGTGACACTGTCCGCCTATGAGGGAAAAAGGCTGTAACACTACGTGCTTTGTTCCATGGTAAACTTTTTGTTGCAGAGGTAAAATAATCTTTTAGAAGCAACAGTTAAATAAGTATGAATCTCTATGGGAGACCCACTTCCATGTCAAGTTTTTTCTTGTACCATCAAAGTCTTAGTAAATATTTAGAATAACATTTAGAATCTTCCTTTTTCCAGTTGAAAAAATAATTATAGAGAAAGGGCAAAGCTCAAATACACCAGAGCTATATGACCAGCCAAAGTGGCAACGAAGCACTGGTTAAAAAATAATATTAATAAAGAATCAAGAAACTGTAGATAACCCTCTTTACCACCGGGCCTCAACTAGGAACCCCACAAAGATGTTGCACAATTGTTGGAATGATGATTCATTCATGAAATTTTGGATAAAGTTAAGAGCAGATGGTGGTTGAAACTTAGCAGCTCATTTGGAGTGTGCATCAGTGGCTTTTCTTTGTCTAGCTGATTACATGTTGAACAAGCACCTGTTGGGCACCAGAAAAGGGAGATTTTCAAGGTAACAACTTGGGTTATAAACTATTGGAAATTTAATCAAATTGTTTAAAGTTCCAATGAGGGATTCGATGATAAAGCAGTGAAGCTATTTGGGGATATTCATAGTAGGTGGAGATTACATGGATTATGGGATGAAAAGGATGGAAGAGTATCTAGAGTTTTGTCAGTGTGTAGTCTTCTTGGAGGAAGTCAGGAAATAGGTTTAAGCTTCATGTTTGCACATCTTCTGATGCTCTCTTCATTCTTAATTGCATTTTGTTTATTTCCTGTGCATAAGGGAGGTTCCCTTCGGGTCATCCGTACGAGGACTAAGAAATGGCTTGGCTAGAACCCTCAAGGCTTTTTAATAGTTTATTTTACTTACCAATAAAAAAAGAGAAGCAGTAAAGGTGCTGATGTTCTATTTTAAAGGGCTTGGGTATATCCTACAATATCTATAACTATTTATCTTCATAAGGCCCAAACAGGCGGTGTAGTGTTTGTGACAAATAAATGAGGAAGAGGTAAAAATTCCAACTCAAACATAATAACCTTTGCATCGACTTAGAAGCAAACCTTTTTCTTTCCAATACATCCAAGTTTCTCATGGTTGCTTTGCTTTTTACTCCTAAAAAACCGTGTAACTACAACATGCTAAGCAAAGGGGAACTTAAACATGACTACTATGTAGTCTCTATATTGCCTCCTCAGTTGAGCTTTTGTATAGGTGCTCCGATGATGTGATACAGTTCCAATTTTCCCCGTCCTGCACCTCTAGAAGAGAATGCCCCCATATCAAACATGACAACCTAATCACCTATTGCTCTGTTTAAAGTTTAAACCAAAATCACTCAAAGTGAAAATTATTCACGAACAACTTGCTTAAACAACAAAGTAATTGAAGCAAATCCAGCCAGATTCCAATTTATCTATTCCAATTTATTTCAAATCATTTTCCGTTTATCAAATTAATCAGTCAAAGTTTAAATATACAGAAGCTTTACACATGAAATCAAAAATAAGAAAGAAGTTTTTAAAAGAAAAGAGCATTAATTCGAAACATATATAATTTGATTATATATGTGCGTGCATAATCTGATATAATTTAGTAGGAACTTCGTTTCAATGTGAACCACCAAAAAAAAAAAAAAAAGGAAATCTAACAAGTAAGACTACAGAAATTGTAAGCATCAATGGAACAGTAGTTATGGTAAATTAGAATGCAATAATTTACACCCAAAAAATCAACACTAATTGGACCAAAAATGAATACTTACAGTGTATATTGGCAATTGTCCTTTCAAGCGAGGAAATAAAATAGGGCTAGGGTTTCGGATCAAGAGGGTGTTTGATGAGAAGAGAGACAAACGCCGAGGGACACCTGAGCCTGTTGGCACTGGGACCGCTTGAGAGCGGTCCCACCGCTCGAGCACAGGCTCCTGACCAACTCCGACTCGCCGGGGCAAGCCTCCGCCACCAGGCATTCCGCCAATGACCGGTTCAGGTGGCGGCACGCCGCCTCGCGCGGCGGTCCTGCTGGGATCCGGCGGTGGCAATCCCACAACGCCCGGTGCAGCCGCTCGCACCGGCCCAAACCCCGACCTCCGACCGAGTCTCCATGTTGTGTCCTCGACATGATAATAAAAGAAGAATAGTAGTAGTAGGAAATAGTTTTAAGAGAACATCATTTCAATATATATCCCTTTAAGTTTTAAGTTTTAAATTTTAAATTTAAATATTCAAAACTTCAAAAAGCAATTTATTAACTTTGCAGCCTTGCAGGAGACCATAAAATATGAGTGAAATAACAAATTGCATAATATACTTTTTTACAAAAAAAAATAATAATAATAATAAATAAATAAAAATAAAAAAGTAAAATTTTAACCGCAAATTCTTGGTAAGGGTTGTGTTTTATAAAGCTAGGGACTTTTGCAATTTATTGGTTCATTCGAAATTGAAATACTCCTTCCGTTCCATATTAGTAGTTTATTTTTCTCTTTTTACATGTTCCAAATTAGATGTTCTCTTTAAAAAGTCAAAGCAAATAAGTTCTATATTTTTATCATTGCCGTTTATCTTTTTAAAAAATTTCAAACTTTGTAATTATATATATTTAAATTAGAAAGGGCAAGTTGGTAATTTTAAAAAGTGAAAATTCATTAAATGCATCTTCCTTAAAAACTCCAATTTCTATATACGGACCTCTAATGTGGGACGGAGGAAGTAAGAAACAAGTCATCATTGAAAAGTTGAGTGTTCAAGTTATTGGTGGAAAAATAATAACTTGTTCTCTCACTCGTTGAAACTCTAATATTATTTACATTGTTATTTATAATTTTCGTAAAAAAGACAAAAAGTGATGGTTATTTACTGAAAATTGCAAGTTATTTACTCCAAGTACTTAGAATTTTAGAGGTCATCAAAAGGTAGCTGATCTAATTGACAGAGAGATTGAAGATCTTGGAAGATTGGTTTAATTGATATTCTTTATTCCAAGAGATAAAGAGTACATTTTGGAAATTTCTACTTGTGCATTGGGGATAAAAATAGAGGTGTGGGGATATACAAAAAGATGGGAGTACCAACAGCCAGTGGTATCAGGCTCCTCTTTTTAAAAAGAGGTAAGGGGTTCGAATCTCGGTGGAGGCATGTGTGTGTATCGAACCTTGGAAGCATGGGTGTGTGAATACCAATTATGAAAAATAATAATAATAAAAATAAATAAATAAATGGGCCAGGAGTATACAATCAGATTGCAAATTAAGAAGCTTCCATCAGCCTAAAACTGTCAGAAGGAACAATGACTTGTCTCCAAGGTTTTTTTACCAGTCAGATGGCATTGGAAGAAGTTTTGAAAGCTAAGAACCAAAAGAAATAGAAAGGTGTTTTGAGAGAATTATAAAAAAATATTTTTTAACTGAATTTTAAAAAAGTGGTTTTTTAAAAAAATGTGACCAAACAGGTTTTTTTTGAACCAAACATACCCTTAATGTGTCGGTGCCAACTGGCCAAACTGGCGTGGAAGCTCTTACCTCTCAGAATAGAGATTCAAACTGATTTTAATCTTTCCGGGCTGCAGAAACTCAAGAGTTGGGATGTGGAATTGAATGCAGAAACTTTTATAAGACTCAATTCTTTCACATGCGTGGCACATTTGGAAGCGAAGAAATGATAAAGTTTGCAAAGGGAAAGATGTTAATGCTTTGTCCATGGTGTCAAAAGCCATTGCAGGATATTATGAATTCAGTAATGCATGGTAAAGTATATAATTTCGATTCTTTTGGTGTGGACCGGGGCGAACTTACTGAAGGGTTAACCTAGGCTATAGTCCAAGTTCAAAATATATATATATATATATATATATATATATATATATGTATATATAATATTACTGTACATCAGTTCATAGTCCGGTCTATATGCAATACTACTCTCACTCTTATAGTTCGGTCTATATGCAGTACTACTCTTCTTTTTAGCCCAGTCCATTTTGCAATCCTGGCTCCACCCTTGGGTGTGGTGAATTCTTCAATTAAGTTCTAATACTCATTAATGGCAGGGAAGAATATGAGTTTCATGTAGATGTTGCATTCAACATAGAATTAAAACAAGCCGGTGGAGGTTTTGTTCTCCGAGATTAGAAGGGTTGTGTCAATAGAGTAACTATTAGTTTTATGAGATGCTTTAATAGCAGAGGCTTTGATCGATGATTAAACATTAATTTGCTTTGAACAAGCTTGTGGAATGGAATTATGAGGAAGTTGATTTTGAGATTGGTTTTCAGGTGATTGTCAATCAAGAAGCTAAATGATCTTATTCTGCATCACTTATTACTGTAAGACATTTCCTGGATGCTGCTTCAAAATCAGAATTTTAAGTTGCAATGGAGCTCAAGATTTATGTTAGAGGTGTGCCACATTAGATCTAAATGAAAAGAGAAATGGTATATATGAGTGGGGTGTTAGCTCTATCCAATGGCTTAAACTTTTGAGTTAGATTGCGAAACACCCTATCTATTATAATTGGTATCAAACTCAATCATTTATCAGGTGTCAAATCAAGCGTCTGGCTAGGCAGGGTAGCCTGACTGTAAGCTGATGTTTGGACAGATAGAACATTTGATCTTTATTATTTTGACCTCCCCTAAAAATGTGAAATGTCTCTCGTACCTTTATCAAATTTAATTATATATATAAAAAAAAATACTCTATTACCTTTTTTTCCCCTTATTAGCCTATCTTTTTTACTTTATTTTTTTTTTAATAAAAAAAATACCTAATCAACCCTTAAAAAGAAACATAATCAAATGTCATTAACAAAATAATAATATAATAATAATTAATAATAATAATTTTGTAAAAATTAATAGTATCAAATTGTTATGAAAATTAATATTTTATATTTCAATGTCATTTCATGTCAAAATATAAGGTTATTGAAATATTTTAACAAATATATATATATATATATATATATATATATATATATATATATATATATATGACACCTTAGTCATTTATAAAAAAATTATTAATGACAGGGGTGTTGTTGAACACACGTGTTAAATGTCTGGGAGGTGGAAGTAATAAAGGTTAAAAACTCTACTCGTGTGTAATTTATCCAAATATCAAAGAAGGTCAGTGTAATTTAATAAAAAAAACTTTTTGCACCCAAAAAAATACGATTGAGGGAAGAAAAACAAAAAATTGTAGTTAACATTATAACAAGAAAATACAAAAAGTCGTCGTTAACATTATAGGTAGTTATGTATATATAGTTATGTAGTGGAATGGCATCTTTAAGAAAATAAAATAAAAAATGTAACATGACATTTCTAATAAATGTTCGATTTTGGTGCTAGCTTGGAGCGCCTAGTCTTAATTTATTCTTCAATATTGGTTTCAAATTAGACTAAGTTGATTAGTCTCACTCAAATAAAAAAAGTAAGGATTTTTTTTCCCCGGCAGCCGGATATAATTTGAGATATTAGGTTAAAAAAATATAAAAATAGTCTTTTAATATTAAATAATAATTAATTATATTTATTTAAAAATTATCATACTTAATTTTTTTCATTCAAAATTACTAATTAGATTCTTGTATTTAAATTTTATTAAAGTCTTTTTTTTCAATATTTAATATAATAGTCTAATAGTTAATTATATACTCCATACTTAATAATTAATACAACTTGGAAGGAGGGGAGGAGGAACAAAAAAAGTTAGATGAGGGTAGAAAATAAGAGTTAGGGAGTAGTTTTTTGGGCCCATTATTAAATCTCTACCATTGTTTGGGATTTAATAAGAAAATAAAATTTTTAATGGAGATCATAAAATAAGGAAAAAAAAAAAAAAAAGGGGAGCATCCTATTGGTTAGGATATAGTAATATAAGGAAATAAAATTTTAAAAAAGTAATAATAATATAAAAAAATAAAAATTTTAGGATGCTTAATTGGTTAGGAATGTTATATGAGAAAAGTATACACGCAGCCACTACCAGGGACGGAGCCACCGCACCCCGGGCTTGTGCTGGCCCATTAGATTGTTAACAAATATGTATATATGTTTTTGAAAATTACATAAAGCCCCTTCTAAAATTATTTTCTGTCTAAAAATCTTTTTAATTTTTTCTTTTTTTCTTTCCTCCTCCTCCTCCTCCTCTTCTTATACGGAGTATTTCTTTTTAATTCCCCTCAAATAAATTTATATTCCTTTTATTTAATCAAATTTTAAAATTTCCCCTTTAGTTTTTTCTTCTTGTGATTAGTTGAATTTTAAATTTTTTTCATAAGATTTAATGTGTCCTCTTAAGCCAAATTCCTGATTCCGTCCTTGTTACTATGTACCTTCGGCGAATCAAAACACCTAATTTACCTTAATAATAAAATTAAAAACCACAATCTTGAAGATACTCAATAATTTCTCTGATGATGATAGTCTAAATTATAAGATTGAATTATATAAAAATAACATATAATATAATATATATATATATATATACACACACACACATACGTACGTACGAATTATTGAGGAAAAATTGTCCACCTAAAAATAACTATTCTAGTGTAATAAAGGGGAGCTTATCTAACGTCAGATTTGGATAGAAAAGTGAATAAATATAAATGGGTGGGTATGCAGTACTACCCAATAACTTAAACTTTTGGTTAAATGAGCAAGTGCCTACTCATTATAGTTAGTATCAGAAACAGATCCAATTTTTGATCTGGTATTACGCCAAGCGTCCCACTCAGAGGCGTCCGGTTGTGCCATCTGGGTAGGCAGGATGAGTCGACTGCAACGAGTGCGTTGCGGATCAAATGGGGGAGAATGTAACAAAGAGAAGCTTATCTCACGTCGAATTGAGATAAAAAAAATAAATAAATTTAAATAAATAGATATATAATACTATTTAATAATTTAAATTTTTTGATAAATAGATAAGGTCTCACCCGTCATACGAACAACCATGACGGGTAAACTTTCAAGGTTGTTACGGTAGCAACAAATCTTAGAAGACTAGCCTTCAATGGAACCCAAAGAGCATGTATAATATTAATAAAATATTGTTGAAAAAAATCTTCTCTCATATTAAACTTTTGGATCAGCTACTTCTCTCTCGTCTAGAAAGGTTTCTCCAGCGCAACAAAGCTTGCAATTACAGGAGTGTATGTGGAGGGTGTTCTAGTGTTCTTTTTCGGCTCTATTAAAAATAATTAATTAATAAATATCTACCATCACATATAATTAATAAAAAAGTTTAATTAAATTTTTTTTAAAATTTTTCATTAATATATTACATGAATAAGTAACTAGAGAATTTAAGCAAATTTAATGAAAAATATGTCATCAAATTAATATGATTTTTGTAATAATTTATTTTAATAAGAAAATTAAATTAAGTGTAATTCATTAAGGAGGAGTATTATGATCATTTAATAAAATATGTATAAGCATTGAGATATTTTGCAAAACATGATAGTTTAAGAAGTATAAAATATAGTTCAGAAGAGTTATTTACAAATTAAAATATAGTTTAGGATTTTTTGCACTTTATCCAATTTAGTACAATTTTGTCTCATAAAAATAGTCCTTTTTGGGTGGGATTTTCTGAAAGTGACAGGTATTATCCATGGCTAAATTATTCTTTTAAATTTTAATGGACGAATAATGATTTAAGAATTGAATACGGATTATGTGGATAAAGTGATGGACTCCACATATGATGTTATTAGACTCACCATTTTTGTCACATAAATTAAATTTAGTATTTGCTTAATTAAATCTCTAAATCACTACTCTTAATTAGTTATGTTAATAAATTAAATTTTTAAAAAAATTTAAAGGAACAAAATAGTGATAATTATTTTCTTACAGTCAAAAAAAGAAAAAGAAAAAGCAATAATTAAATTGAGATATAACTGTCTAAACATTATAACAATTGAAATTGCTAGATTTAGACTCAAAATGGGTGGTTTTGGATCCTTTCTCAAATAGGTTTTAAAATAATAATATATTCTCAAAGGAGTCTATTCATAATGATTTGATATTGAGAGGTGTATGAGGGTCATCTATGATGAGTGACAAAAGATGAGAAGATAATGAAAATGATAATGACACCTAGAGAGAGATTTATACTTCTAGAAATATAATTGTGTTAAAGGGGTCTGTATTGTGATAAGCTTTCTGAAGAGAAATAATGGAAATAGCCCATCATATCTGTGTGTGTGGGGGGGAGAGATGTTTTTCAACTATGAAGATAAACCCAACCAAGGGATATAGTGAAACTAGTAATGATTCATTGATTTTAAAGGGATTTTGAGAAATGGCCTCCAACTTTTTCATGGATACCCCACTTACTAAATTTTCTCAAGTAATCTTTTCATCGTAGGTAAATTATATATACTTTTCAATCTTTCAAAATGTTGAGGTGAATTCCAATTTGATCTCTATAGATTTAGTTTGAACCAATCAAGATCTTTTATTGCAATTAAATGTGAGTTTTTCATTTGAAATTTGGATTGGAAATAGAAATTAGAACAACTAAATTAAAAACACTATTAATCAAAAATAAAAAGGGATAATAGTTGTCTATTCACTGGTGAGTAGTTGATCTTTACTGACCGTTAATGTGATCCAATCACAAATGCATATAACATTTGTAATCCTTATTTATTAATTTTTTGATTTTGAAATAACAATAATTTGTGCATTTTTTATTTCGGTGAGTAGACAAGTATTGTGCAATGGAAAATATGAAACAAAGTATTATTCAATGTATTTTATAAGAATCATGAGTTTTAAACAACCTTTATTTCTATTCAAAGTTCAGATTGAAAGCAACTAGTAGTGCACACTTTGTTTTTTTTTTTTTCTTTTCTTGTCTCTTTCTTTCATAAAACAACTGGGAGTGCTCTTTTCATTAGAAATTAATCAAAAGATGCATTAAATTGCAAATATAAAGATAAAAAAAAGAAGAAATAACCTTTAAATTTGAAGATTGAAAACAATTTATTTTATCTCAGAGGGTCCACCAAGCAATAAATATATAATACCATGCCAGAGTGAAAATATGGGAAGTAAAAGTGCAAACACAAGAGTACACAAACCATATCAACGCCCTATTGATTGATAGAAATTGAATTATTTGGTGAAGGGTGTGCAACTTTTGGGGAGCAAATATGGATGGGTCCCTAATCCCCTCACAAAAATTTAATATCAATGGGCATCCAAGAAAATCAATTTTCTCTCTCATCCCTCTTTGCCAATCTTTCCTCCATTTAAATCCTCTCATGCTTTCACTTCTTTCCCCACCAAGAAAGTGTGATGAATCCATAAGAGTGGCCAAAAAAGAAAAGAAAAAAAAAAAGAATGATAGAGACAGCAAAAAGGAAGAAAGAAAAAAGGGTTTAGAGCCTAGACTTGAGAGAGAAAAAAACACATAATTAAATAGCTCTTACAGAACACCAGCAGATAGAGAGAGATATTTATGGGTTTCTCTCTCTCTAAATATAGCTTTCTTTCCCTCTCCCTGTCTGAAACATCATCCTAATTTCTGCAAAGGCTGACGAAATGGGTTTCTTGAAAAGAGATTATTTGTACCATCTGATCTGGCAGATGGGTGTTTTGGGGAATCTGTACTAGGGCATGATAGTCTCAAGGGGTTTTGTTCTGAAATTTCCATAGCTCTACTGCCAATACTGATAGGTAAGTTCCATCGAATTTGAATCTAAGATTAAAAAAAAAAAGAAATATTCTCTCATGTTCTATCTCTGTTTAGTTTAATTGATTAATGGATAAATTGGGGTTTGTTCTGCTTTCTTAGTTTGGGTATTATTCTTGTCATTATTTATAGTATTGTGTTTATTCACTCCTTCAAAATCCTACTTCATTTTTTCATCCTTAATCTGATATGTAAGCAATTTTCATCTGCATGAAGTGGATTTCTGGGTATACTCTGTTTCAAGTCGCTGCTTCATTTTTCTCCTTTTTCTTCGGTCTCACTTGGGTGTGTCATACCTATCTGTATAAAGGATTACCAATCCTTAACTTTTCGAGGAATCCGTCATCAGTGGTTGTAAATGATTGATTTTTTTTAATCGACCTTGGTTCTGTACGAGCAAGTCAGAAAGATTGAGAAATAGAACCATCTTCTCAATAGCCTGATATAGTTTTTTTTTTTTTTTAATTATTTTTTTAAATATCATTTTTATTGGTTCACTCCTTTAAACGCGTAGGGAATAGGTATCTATGTTTAGCATATATATGCGATCATCTCATTAAATTGTCCATAATTTTCAATTAATTAGTACTCTATTTGAAGAACAAGAAAGGTTTCTATTGATCTAGTTTCATTCTATTTTCGAAGCTCCTAGTTAGCATTGATTCTGAACAGTTTTGTGAAAGTATATGTTTAAGTGATATGTATTATTTCGTCATTCTTACATTTTTGATATATGTTGAATTATTTATTGATGTTTTTTTCATGTAACTATGTTGAAGTTTATCTTAGTTTAATAAGCGGCCCTTTCACAGGCTTCACTCTCCTTTTTGCAATATATCAAATTTAAAGTCATAATTTGTGACGAATTACTCCTTATTCAAGTCTAACATTCTCATTTGAGTAATGTTGTTATGTTGAATTACTTATTGATGCCTTTTCATGTAACTATGTTGAAGTTTATCTTAGTTTAATAAGCGGTCTCCTTCATTCTTTCACACGCTCCCCTCTCCTTTTTCCCTTTCCTTTTGGTAATGATATTAGGATCGAGGATAGAAAAGGAGAAGACTACGGATTTGGACGTTGGAGTTTTTCAATTTTAAGGCTTTTCCTGTGTAGTTTAAGATGGGTTAAATAATTTATTTAGGAGAGCTAAAAGATGGACAGGGCAAGATTGGCTTCAAGATTTCATCACTCCGGTTCAACACCTTCGGAGGAATCAGCGTTGGATTTGGAAAGAAACTATTGCAACCACCACAATCTGCGTTCGTCCAGTCCACCACCACTACAAGCGTTTACATCCGGCGGTCAACTTTCTGAGAGCAATGCTGCATACTTCTCCTGGCCTACTTCTAGCCGTTTAAATGATGCTGCTGAAGATAGGGCAAATTACTTTGGAAATCTTCAAAAGGGGGTTTTGCCTGAAACCCTCGGACGATTGCCAACCGGCCAGCAAGCTACCACCTTGCTTGAATTAATGACCATTAGGGCATTTCATAGCAAGATCTTGCGTCGTTTTAGTCTTGGCACTGCAATTGGTTTTCGGATTAGACGGGGTGAGTTAACAGATATACCAGCTATTCTTGTATTTGTTGCTCGGAAAGTTCATAGGCAATGGCTGAGCCACTTACAATGTTTACCAGCTGCACTTGAGGTCAGGAAAAAACAAGAAATTGTGTGATTTTGTTTGTGTGTTTACATGATTTTTTTGGTAGTTAAATACGTTCTTTTGAGCAGGGCCCTGGAGGGGTATGGTGTGATGTTGATGTCGTTGAATTTTCTTACTTTGGTGCACCTGCTGCAACTCCAAAAGAACAATTGTACACTGAGCTTGTAGATGGATTGCGGGGAAGTGATCCATGCATTGGTTCTGGTTCCCAGGTAAATAGAGTTATAATTTTAGTTATGTGTATAAATTCAAAAAGAAATGATTATGGGAATATGTGGGTTGATTGATGATTGAGTAGCAAATGAGCTGGCACTCCTATTTATAGACTAATAGCTTTAGAATTAATGGCTAGGTCTATACACATGTCAACAATCCAATATTCTACAATTGGGTTTTAAATGCTCCAAAAGAATATCTATATATTGTGAGAATACTCTTGAGAGTTCTATATGCGCATATACAACTCTAAACGAGGTGTGTATATGTATATCGGGTGTATTTTAGAATTGAAGTGTAGAATACTCCAAAAGAATATATATACAATGCGATACTACTCTGGAGGGTTCTATAACATTTATACAAGTCTACACTATATATATATTTTTGATACCATTCATTTGTTATCGAAGTTCTTTAATTATGATCGATAATGAATTTTTTTTTTAAGAAAGAAAAGGTCTATAACTTAGAAAATATAATGTAAACTTATTATATATCGGGAATATTTTAGAATTGAATTATAGAATATTCCAAAAGAATATTTATACAATGCGATACTACTCTAGAGAGTACTATATATATGTGTGTATATATATATATATTGATACCATTCATTTCTTATCGAATTTCTTTAATTATGATCAATAATGAATTTTTTTTTTTTAATATTTTTAAAATAAAAGGTGTATGACTAAAAAAATTATGATGTAAACTTATTATATATGTTACTTTTGTTGTTTTAGAAATGTAGTTTATGGGTGAAAACAACGTGCGTTTATAAATTAATTTTCTTTGTAACAATTGGTTCAAAATCTTACATTGTTATAAGAAATTTTTTAGTGAATATTCACTAGACTCCATCTAAATTCTTAAAATTATGATTATCAATGGATTAATAAATTCATTTTATTTTATTTTAAAATTATGGATTTAATATTTTTTCTATTGTTTTCCCTTTACAATTTGTAGGCACTGTTAATGCGATTTAGCTAAAAAGAAAATAGATTCTTTTATTTGAACTTCTCTAATCCCATTTACAAATTTAAACTTCTCATGATATGGATGGAACCTTATTGTCCAGTCATGATTAATTTTATACGACTGAATTACTACTTGGCCATGCTTAATCTTGTCGACTTACCCAAGATGATACATTGACTCTCATGGAATGCTTGTTTAAATGAATTTTATAATTGTATGGCACTGTGTGAACTATTCATGGAATGCTTGTTTTAATGAATTTTATAATTGTATGGAACTCTATGTGAACTATTTTAGAATATAATGGAGAAATTGTGTGGAGTATTTTAGAATGTAATGGAGTTATATAGGTTTAATTAAATTATGAAAAGAATATTTTAGAATTTTGTAATGCTATGTAAAGATGGGGAGGGTTCAAGAATTTGCTATGAAAAGATTGGGATGTCTATGTAAATGGTGGAACTCCTCTTGGTAATAATACGTATTATAGTGGGTGTGAAAGTCTTTTATGCCCAATATGTTAGTTGATTCATCCAAAAGAACATTGTCACGTGGTTATTTAAAGGTGTAATCCGCCTATTGAATTCCACATTCATCTGGGTAGGGATGGTTAGCTATAGATGTTATTAATTTATAAAATGAGAGTACCACTCTTAACCATCTTCGCCATAAAAAAATTGCCAAACATTGCGGATTTGGGTGGTAATATATCATTCAATTATGGCAGAATCACTATTGTATTTGCTATAAGAAGATTTTATAGATATATGTCAAATGTTTCCTACTCTGTAGTTAATTGCTTAAGACTTTGATAGTTGTTTTGTATGTGAAAAGTCTTTTTTATTGTTTATGACATGGTAACAAAAATTAAGTTAAACATGTGAGTGTAAATTCATTTAAAATTAAATTTAATTTTGAAACATGCAAATAGTGACGAGAGAAAGTGTATATTTTTATTAGTTTAAATTAAAGGCATTTGAATTTTGCTCTATAATTTCTTGAACACATGCTCATAAAATTATCAACAACTCAACAGTTCATTCTTTGCACCAAAATTATCTCCAAGTTTCTAAATTTATGTCGCCCGTTTAATATCAATATAGATTTGTATTTACTGGTGAGGTTTTACAATTTGCATATTTTAGAGATTGTTTTCTTTAGGTTTTTAATATCATTTGATTAATAGTTTTCATAACCGTATATGTATGTATCGTACAATGCATTTTATTAGGTAAACTATCGTGAAATTACATGCCTAGATGTATTTCACTCAAATTTTTTATGGTTGATTAGAACGTGTTGTTGACAAGAACACGCTGGTGGCGCTCACCCCTCAAATAACAATTGTGCCTTCTAGATATTCACTAGCCTACGTGTTAACTTTTTACTTCTCTAGAACATTGTCTACTCTACACACCACTGCAACATTCTAGAATCCTCCAACACTTTACACAATTATGGAAGACTCTAGCACTTAATTCTCCACCCTTGCCAAGCATCCCCCAAGAACCTAATTCTCTACTCTAGACAAGCATACGGCAAAGTTCTCAGAGCTTGCGTGTCATCTGTGTGGCACAACCTCTTTTGGTGGGGCATGACATTAGTGAATTATTGTAGCTTTGAATCAATTATCTTGCACTCTAATATGTCAAGGTGGAATATTTCTCTGATATCTAGAATTGCTTGTGTAATGCTAATTGAATGTTTTTAATGAATGTAAAGATATTTTTTAGAAGTCTGAACAACATTCGTCAACAATATTTTTACTGAACTTCAGGAAATGAATGTACAAGAATCATGTATATGGTTAGTGTTTATCATTATTATGATATTGAATCAATTATCTTTCACTAATTTGAGCTTTCCAACTATGTCTAGTTTTGCTATTTATCTAAAATAAGGAACTATTTGCGTTTGATGTGAATTATATGTTTTAATCTAGGAAGCACGGACTAAGAAAGAGTCGTACACCAACACTCCTCGGATGCGAGAAAACATTTCATACAGACGTGTCTATAAATAAATATTAATTTTATTATTTCAGACACTTCGCCGACACTTCCGGGACATTTTCCGGACCGCCGACACTTCTCGGACATTTCTAACACAAGTCTACGCAGTAATCTTGAAGTAGTATGAATGCCATCATGACAAAGTAGTGAAATAATGGTATATATAAAATAAAAATTATTACAATAATTACTTATAAAAAAAAATAAAAAAAATTACAATAATGACATAATTTCATTTTTTAATTCATTTTTGAACAACTCTTAGTACGGTAATTATAAATGAATTTAAGTTTTATAATACTATTACTGAATAGATGAATAATAATAAAAAATTATATTATTATGTAGCTGTGTCGTTGTACCCGTGTCCTACTTTTTTAAAATTTGACGTGTTGACGTATCTATGTCGTATCGTGTCCGTGTCCGTGCTACATAGGTTTTAATTATACCTAATGGTCATTCTAGAAATGAATGAATAATTATCTCCTTTCGGGGCAGGTAATATCCTTCTTGTTTTTGTCTATTCGTCCATTTGATTATTGTCTCCACCAATATTGTTACTTTAAATTAATCATCTTCCACCATGTGTGAATGTCACCTTTGTCTATTTCTCTAATATCCACAACTGCTTTGATTGAATGTTTTAATTATACTAAAGACTATTTCTAAGTTATGTTATGTTCATAATGTTCTAATATATTTCTTAGGATACTTTTTTTAAAGAGAATTGGATTAGTGCCCCTCCTCTTTGTTGCGATATAACCCTAACTTTCATTAATGAATTGGAGTTTTTTAGTGTTCCAGTTATGTGTTTTTGTTCTTGCTCTTCAAATTGCTTAGTTGTATCTTTCTTTTAGGTTGCAAGCCAAGAGACATATGGAACCTTAGGCGCTATTGTAAAAAGCCGAACAGGAAATCAACAGGTTGGTTTCCTCACAAATCGGCATGTGGCAGTTGACTTGGACTACCCAAGCCAGAAAATGTTTCATCCTCTGCCACCAAGTCTTGGACCTGGTGTATATCTGGGTGCAGTGGAGAGGGCAACATCATTTATAACGGACGATCTTTGGTATGGCATATTTGCTGGAACAAACCCAGGTAATGTAATTCCAAATTGTAGGCTATGATTGTTGTATTATGAATTTCATCTGATACAGAAAAAACATTGGTATCCACAAAACTGATCATTGATTTGAGAATTTTGTTTTCGTTTTCCAATAGTACAAAGGACTATAGGCTAGGATTTAGGAGACAGTCTATAACTTGGATTAAGATAACAAATTAGGGCTCTATTTGGATTGAAGGTAAATGAATGGAGTTATGTTACAATTATTTGAAAAATATAGATTAAGTTATTTAGTAATTTAGGTTTAAGCTTTAGCATCATGCATGACTTGATTTGATAGGTGTGGATTTTCAAATAACAAGGTACAAGAAGTTATTTGAGTTGCAATTTTTATCTAAACTCAAATTTCTTCATATCAGAACCGTTAGTCTATTATAATTAGCCATGCCTTCAGTCAAATATTATCTTTTTGCCCTTGGTTCGAGGTGTGACCCAGCTAATTAAGATTAACCAGGAATCAGAATTAAGGTTATCTCTGGGTCTTGGTCATTAATCCAAATGCCATCCTAACCAAATTCTCAAGTGAATCAGTCAATCATATCATGCATTATATCAAACTCTCAAGCTTGTCTCTATATCAAACTCTCAAGCTTGTCTCTAGGTCATTAGTCTACAATATCACGTATGAAGAAGTTAAGGGATGATGGGTTCTCTTGATCCTGCTATCCTCTCTAAGTTCTATTGTCTTTTATCTGCATCACTGAATTTTTTATGGTTAAAATTATAAACGGTTTCTAAATGATATTTAACCCTTGCATGGTCTGAATAGTGATGCTAATGGTTGAGTTGGATACATTTTTTGTGTGTTTATTTAAACAACATGCGGAAACAAAGTTGTCTTGAATTTCACATTTCAGCTAGTAAAAATTTCTATTTTCCTCCTGGCTCCACACATGCCCATCACAATCTTGTGTTCTTGCAGAAACATTTGTCCGAGCAGATGGAGCTTTTATTCCCTTTGCAGAAGATTTTAACATTTCCAATGTAATTACATCCATAAAAGGCATAGGGGAGATCGGTGATGTCAATATCATAGACTTACAGTCTCGAGTTAACAGTCTCATTGGCAGACAAGTGGTGAAAGTTGGAAGAAGCTCTGGCTTCACTACTGGGACCATTATGGCCTATGCCCTAGAGTACAATGATGAGAAAGGGATTTGCTTCTTTACCGATTTTCTCGTTGTTGGTGAGAACCAACAGACATTTGACCTTGAAGGTGATAGTGGAAGCCTCATTCTCTTAACTGGTCAAAATAGGGAGAAACCACGGCCAGTTGGGATCATTTGGGGTGGAACTGCTAATAGAGGTCGGTTAAAATTGAAAGTTGGCCAACCTCCTGAAAATTGGACCAGTGGGGTTGATCTAGGGCGCCTTCTTGACCTCCTTGAACTTGATCTCATCACGACGAATGAAGGGCTTCAAGGTTTGTGCTTTTGAACCACTGAATTGTCTTTGTGAGTCATATACATGCTGCAGTTGCCTTTGGTAACCCATTCATATTTGGTTCTTTCTAATACATGGGGCATGCTTATTATTTCATCTAGAGTAAGATGTTTTTATCTCTAAATAGTTAAGGAAAATGATTCTTGAGTTTGTTAAAGGATTTCAGAATCACAGTATAATATAAATTTGAAGTAAAACAATACCCTTACATTGAAAGCTAGAATACTGGAAAAAAAATTCTTGGGCAAAATGAAGTGTAGTAAAGCAGAGTTTCCGGGGGACCTGTCTGTCGATAAAGTGTTAGGACACAGTAACAAGAAGATATTCATTTTTCTTTCTGCTAATATTTCTCATTTATGTTTCTCTAACTATCCTTCTTGTGGTTTCTTCGTCTTAATGTTAATATAGCTGCTTTGCAAGAGCAAAGAAATGCTTCAGCAGCATGGAATGATTCCACTGTTGGGGAGTCATCTCCCCCAGCCCGGATTCCCCTGAAAGATAAAATCGAAGAAAATTTTGAGTCTCGCAGATCAAACATCCGGCAATTTGCTATTGGAGGTGAGCCCCATCAAGGACTGACCCCACCATTTGTGCACGGCGAGTTTCACATCGAAGGTACCACTAAAGCAGCTACAAATGTAGAGCATCAGTTTATTCCAAGTTCTCCGCTTCATAAAAACAATCAGAAGGAGAATGCAGCATTGAGAAACCTCTCAGCATTGAGGAATGGGTCCGACGATGATATTTCTGTTTCTTTGCAGTTAGGTGAGCCCAGACCAAAGAGAAGAAAGCAATCGGATTCTCTGTTCAACATTGAAAAACCACAGTGATGTAAGATGGGAACACTACCATTTTTTTGGCTGTTGAACTCTGTGTTCAAGAATGAGGTCACGCATTTGCCGTTCAATTCTAGGTCAAATGGCACAATCAAATTGTGAATTGTAAAGTAAAAATTTCAAGTAGGAAAAGGGTCGTCATGGTCATGCCTTGTATTAGATAAGTTACTATTGTTATTTTCTGCATATTTTGTTAAGGTTGCAGTTATAGATAGCATGTGTGGGCTATATAGTATTTCAGTAAAAATGTCTAGAGGTAAACTCTGTAATTTGTATCATTGTGGTCAAGTTATTTATACCATAAACACTCCTAAAATAAGGGGTGCCAACAGCTGTTGGAAGTTGGAAAACACTTGAAGTGAATTCTTCAGAATGTCAAGTATTCTTTTTGGTGATCAATCCCATTTGAGTCTCTTTTGTTTGTCAGACAATGCTTGATGAAATTGCAGGGCTGTGAAAAAAAATCTGAAACTCTTACATTCTTTTTGTGTATTATATCTAGACTCATCTGGTGCTATATTTATTGCCATCATTTGACCAATTTATTATTATTATTATTATTATTATTTTTTAAACCTAATGCTTGAGGCTCCCGCCTTGTAGGGTTAGGAGAGGGTCAGATGTACATAATTTTAGCCCTGCGTGTGTGCAACCTGTAAGTTCCAGATCACAATAGGGTAATTTTATCTTAAGTCACACAATCCTTCTCAATGGATGTTACTCTCATGCTTTAAGCACGCTTTCGCTTTTATACTCCGCGCGCGTTCTGCCTTAAATTCTCACTATTTGTGACTTAATTTTGTCGCTTTCACGCTCCCGCTTTCAAATTCGCTCTCGCTTTATGTGACTTAGACTTTTCCATTCTTCAAAGGCTTTCCTCCTTCAATTCCAGAAATTTTTATTATTTTTTTAGAGAGGACTTAAAAAATAAAAATAAAAAAGAATTATCTCCCAAAAGAAAAAAGAAAAAAAAAAAAAAAATGGGAGTAAAATATTGAGTTTCAATATTGTAGTGACCAACTAAAGGTGGGTTCCATGTGAGATTATTATAATCCAAAATAAGAAATGTGGCATTATTGAACCTATTTTATCTACTCCGTCAAAATGATAGCAGCGGTTACACCTACTATTGATGAAAAATTAATAGGTTGTTACATAAGTTGATTTGTGATTTGATTGAAGAAAGACTGATCAATAACTTCCATTAATAATTAAAACTTGATTTGTGGTTTGTGGGGGGCTTCTTGATTTTGTCAATCTGTGTCTCCCTAACAGAAAATAAGAGTCACTAAAAAGGCCAACATATGATATAGAAGAATTGATCTCCATGTGGGTAGTTTGTAACCAAACCTTTGATTTGTCATTTGACAAGCCTTTGATAGCTATAATGGTCTTAGAAAATTGTGAATGACATGGAATCTTAAATTCATGCTTTGACAAACTTAATCAAAGAATTGGCCAAACAGTGTTAGTTGGATTAACTGGTCCTAATTGATTGACATATATATATATATATTTATATTTATATATAGAGATATTGTGGGTTGTCAAGAGGAGGGGTTGGTAATTCTTCTTCAATGAGTCCAAAGTTGAATTGATTCTTTAAACAAAGAAGATAACTCTAACCATATAGTGGTTGCCCAACTTCTAAGAATAGAAAGAAAGAAAAAAAATCATGGATTTTCTGTCGCTAATTGTCTTTATGAAATAAAAAAACATTAACTAAAGTTAACAAGAAAAGGACGTTGCTTTCATTTCTCACCCAAAAAAAAGAGGAAAGAAGGTTGTTTTGGTTTTGAAGTAAATAATTTTAGAAACCACTCACAAATTATTTTGTAGCAAATTGCTCAATTTTCATCGTAAACAAAAAAGTTGTTACGTATTTAACTTTCAAAAACTATTAAGCTACATTGTTGCTAATCATGTTTATTGGTTCAGTTTTTAATAAAAAATTGAAAAAATGAGAACAAAAAAAATTTCTAAAGATTAATAGTTTAGTTTTTCTTTTCTTTTTTTAACAAAGAGATCAAAATTAATTAGGGTAAATTATACTTACTTTCCTTTAAGTTTGGACAAATTATAAACTGAAATAGTGCTTAATGATTATTAATTTGAACTTTCCTAAACCCATTTGTCGACGGCTGAAAGTGAATTTGAGTATGAAAAGTCAATAATGCTCTAATTTTCGTAAGAGGGAATGACAGGATTTTATTAAAGAGAATGACAAAATTGTTATTTTATAAAATTTGTTTAACAGGTTTGCTAGAAAGAAAATGTTAAGGGATGACAATGAACAAATGCATCAAATCTCATGATAGGTCAAAGTATTAAATATTAAACGGTTTATCTGTGTGTAATTTATTCAAATTACAAGAAAGATCACTGTAATTCATTAATAAATTGAAAATCACTGCAATCAATTTCGAATCTCAAGCGTAAGAGATTCTCAATATCCTCATCAAACCAAAGAATGAAAAAAAACACACACGCACGCACACACACACGAAACTAGCTAACAAATGAGCTAGTTTAATTGTGTCACCAGGAGCAACTATAAATGGCTGTTCTTAAGAACCATGGCCCCTCACATTCCTCAAATGATGCATCCATCATAGATTTAAAAGCACCTCATCGATAAACTTTTATCTAAGTTAAATTTTAGAACACAGTTATAAAATTACAAACGATATCGAGTTTTTGAATTGTTTTCTATTTTTCGAATTTTCATAAAACTGAAACAAATGTACAAATCTAAGCGCAAAATACAATATTATTTGGTTTACATTGAAGATATTTTAAACTAATTGCCAACTTTTGGAGATTCTATTGGCAACAACCCCAACAATTGTGGCTATTAAACATGGCTTTTTCTTTGAAAAATCAAAATAAAAAATTGGATATGTTGCCACTAATGGATTCTAAACATTGTCCTAAGAAATCTTTTTATTGATAATAGTTCTGTATAGTAGATTAAACATAAAATAACTCTTGATTAAACAAAATTTCAATCATGATTGCGAACACTTCAAATCCATATCAATCGATCCCAAAAATTCTAAATTTGCCATGACAAGAAAATCCAAAATAGAAGCAAGTTATAACAGTACTACATATTAGAACACGTCTCAACATTGAGGGATTTAAGGTGTACATCATAAATAAAAATAAAAAATAACATTTAAATGCAAAAGAGAGGCATGACAAATTATTGAGAATAAGAAAAAATTGTTCATGACAATTAAATTTACATGCTCAAACCATTTGTCAGTCTTTCAACACAAGCTGGTAAAATTCTTACATTCTTTGATATCTATGAAGTAACATCAAGTTATTCCCAAAATTAACATAATCTGACATCTAACTAATCAAAAAATAAAATACATATCTACAATGTCATTTTCAGTGACGATCTTGCAACACAGTATGAATTTCCATCACAAATGAGTATTTGTCACCACAAAGTTTTTGCAATAATTTCTTTCAACAGAAAGTAGACAAGGCTTTTGTAGCTATTCTTTTACGTCGGTGGCGGAACTCCAGTGTTCCTCATGCTTGATTTCCTTCTTAAAAGCTGTATACACTTGGGTGAGGCAATTCAAATTGAGAGATCATAAATATTTATATATATATATATATATATATATATAGACTATTCTTGTAAAATTGTACCTCTAACCATGAATAAAATACAAATTCAACATTATAAATAATATCATGAACAAGCATGCCTTTCTATTATTCTATATGCTATCATGAACAAGCATGCCTTTTTTACGCGTTGACTCTATATACCATCTGCACACACACACACATATATATATGTATATTGGTAGAGAGAGAGAGGAAACTTTGAAATTAGTGAAGGAGAAGCAATAACATAGACTGTGTCTTCTTTGAGCATTTTTTTTTAGTTTTCAAGTGGTATAGTCAGTGTCGGGTTAGTTGAAACTGATAGAGCCCTGGACAAGCAGATGTTCAAATCTATTTTATGTAAATAAATTCTATATTATTGTAACAATTATACTATAATGTATGAATATATATGTTATTAGTGAAGAATGTTGTTGCACCAACTACAAAATCAAATTTAATTTTCCCTAAATTACAGAAGAAATACCATAAAATTAAAAATTAAATCTTGAAACATGGATATAATTAGCAAGGAATGCTATCTCCCCAAAAAATCAAAATCATTTTTCCTAAAGTAAAGACAAAATTCTTGAAGAATTAGCAGAAAAAATAAAAATTCAAGACTATAACACGGATAAATTCATGAAAACAAGCACGCCTTTCGAACTCGTGTCTTGGATATTCATTGTTTTACTTATAATCTCTAGTATTTATTTCTGCATAGTCAATATATATATACACACACATATATTTAGAGATCTTGGCCGTGTAAGGTTTTGAAATGATTGTGCAGCAGAAAAAGGGAAACTACAGATACATTATTGTCTCCCTTCTCATTGACATTTTGTTGAGAGGAATCAAAAATTAGTGTTGGATTAGTTGAAAATAATTGATTAAGCCTTGACTTGGGGCAAGCATATGTATGTGTGTGCACATTATATTCTGGTGTTTTTACGTATTTTCATATTATTGCTAGTTTGCAACATATACATATTTATATATGTGATTAATTATATGTATACAAGCATGCTATATGTTGAAACCAATTCTTTTTTTTTTTTTTTTTTTTTTTTTTTTTTTTTTTTTTTAACTAATGTAATGGAAATGGTCATAATTGGGAAAAAAAAAAAAAAATTTGATGTATAGCAAAATTACCTGATTGATATGGCAAACATGAAATTAAGGTGTAATTCCAGAAAAAGGCAAGCCAGGTTCTTCTTATTGTTGGTGCATGAGTGATTGAAGCTGCAAGATGACCTGATGGAACTATATCTATATATATATATATATGAAGCTCTAATTCAAATAGCTATCTACTTTGCTCCAAGCCCTTTGGCTGACTCAAAGAATCTGATCACTAGAAACTGGACATAATTAAACCTAGCCTTCCTATCTTGTGTGTGTAGACACATACCCCTAATCATCTATGATGTAAAAAAAACATCCCATGCACTACATGGATAGATCAGGACCATCGATCTGTCCAAATATATGATTGATCCATCAATCTAGCGGTCCAATTATAAGACTAAAAAAGAAAAAGGTGTGCTAGTTCTTACCAGATCATGCTGGCAGCTTCAACCTCTCAAACCAACACAGATATACAATCATCACATGTGATAGAGGGCTTGATGGATCAGAAAGGTGAAAACTCATGATGAGTTGTTTGGCTAAGCACCTTAAGGACATGTTGCTGTTGTGTAACGCGAGCCATGCATGTTTTGGTTGGAAAACCCTCGTGATTCTCCTCCTCATGATCCATATAAATGCACCTCCCTCTTCCTCTCTCTCTCTCTCTTTCTCTCTCTCTCTCTATCTCCTTCCTTTTCTTGTACTGTGTCATATATATAGAGTTTTTTAATTGTGGGTTTTGGCCCTTTCTTACAGCTATTGACATTGACCTTGTTCCCTCTCTCCCTCTCTCTCTCTCTCTCTCTCTCTGGATTTGGGATTTGTATAAAGTATTGTATTTTAAACCACTAGGTCGTCTTTTAAGACTATGTTAGCAGTATACTAATTACCAGCCTTAACTCAAGGTAACATGTCCATAATGTGGTTGGTCCAACACAATTCATTGACTTTTAACCATATGGCTACGTCGTGTTTAATTTATGTCTATACACATCTGAGCTCAAAATTGTTAGGATGTGTCTCGAATTTCTAAGTATGTTGTTATTAAAAAAGTTTGATCAGGTCGTATTTTCTTGACTGTGGATTGAAGAGGTCCAACCGGTTGCACTTGTTTGAGTTGTGAATTTGCTTCCGTAAATGGAAGATATTCTTTCTTAGAGGTGGTAGATTTGTAGAGTAACGTTGTAGATTTATGAAGGAAGTTGTATTTCAATATTAGGCTTTTTATTTTGAAGTTGTGATCAATCTGGTAATTTCTTATCAATCTTTGTTCAAGAAGAAATGTGTTAAAAACTCCATAAATAGAGGTGGTTGAGTGGAGAAGACAGAAAAAAGATGGGTTGAAAGGGTGAGTGATATGAAGAAAAAATGAGAGAGTTTGCGAAATTCCAATTTGTATTATGTAGCCTTAAAAGCGACGAGTGAGAGTATGAGTGGGCATTTTCTATGATTATACATTCTTTTCTAAATAGTAAAATTTCTTCTCTCCACATATATAGTCTAGAGGTTCAGATATGATGAATCACGTAAATTATTGTGTTATGCTTGATTGGTGTATGATTGTATCTCCATATATACAAGTTTGATGATTGTGTATTTATATATTTTCATTGTGCCGGAATGAAAGGGTATTTAATTCCCTATCAAAGTTAATTGGAGGGAGCAATTAATATTCCTAACAAAAATGACCCTTAAGCGTTAGTCTAATGGCAAAGACAAAAACTCTCATTTTACACGTTAGAAGTGGGGAGTTCAAATTTTCTTAACTACTTTTACTGTAACAATTACTCAATATATGTGAGATGAGTGAGTTGTAAGTATCCAATAATAAATTATAAAGTGTTTTAAGAGACTTAACATGCATCACCACCGCAATACATAGCTCAAAATTAATGACCTACCATATGACTGTACATACATCTATACATACATATACATGTATATATAATATAGCAAGCCAGAGTCAAGTTGAGTTAAATGGAGAGATTATGGACTGATACATTTATGCTGTACCTAAAATCAAGGGTACCCTAGATAATAGGACCATCTGTCAAAGACTGATATGATGGATCCAAAAATAACATCATGCATGTTAATTGGGTTCCAATATGGGATACAGAATGCGCATGCTTTTCTTTGTTCTGTCACATGGGCAGTGTCCTTTCCTTTGTCAAAATTAAAGTTCCTCCAAGGTGACAGAGGACTCTATTCTGTAACGGTAATAGTTGTTTCCAATGCTATGGCAACATCACTAACAACACCTGGATAAAGTCACCATTATCACCTAGGATCTCATTCTTTGTATCACCTTCACATTAAACAATTATTTATTTTTCTTCTTTTAAATTTTCTTTCCCGGTCGAATAAAATCTCAAATTCCACCCTTTTAGATGTCACGCTAGTATTTAATTTATGCATCATTACGTTTTCGGTGTCATTAGAATTTAAGGATTGTTTGATAAAACTAAAAATTTTAAGAGCTTAACTTGAAATGCTGAAATTCTAAGTTATATTAGTAAATAGACATTTTTGTTTAATTATGTGTAAATTTTCGGATTTTGAAATGTTCTAAGTGAAAGTTGTACATTCAGACTTATTTGTGGCATTTACTTTTTAAGCAATGTTCAAACAAGGATTTGAATTGAATTGTCAAACAAGACTTGCATCGGTGCCACAACGGGTCGCTTTAGCAATCCTCCTCCAAAAGATACTATTAAATTATATAAATGAAGGATATATATATATATATATATATATATATATATATATATATATTGGCAAGTTGATGGGAATCAGTGGAGGAGACCCTTTTGTCTTTAGCTTTGGGTGGTTCTTCTGTCTTGGTGTCCATGGGTTGACAAACAATGACATATAGACAACCTCTAATGGAAATGATAGGACCACAACTTCTTTTTATAGTTTGATTAAAAGATTTTTTTTTAATATTTATTTATTTATTTATTATTAAAAGATAGGGTCACATGGTTTTGCTTAGCTCAAAGAATTGAATCTGCATTTGATTAAGGTTGGTCTACTGGTAGTTGTCAATAAAGCTGTCCATAACATATATATTAGCCTTTTCTTTTTCCACAAAAAAAAAAAAAATATATATATATATATATATATACATACATACATATATACATATTAGGGTTTTCTTCTTTTTCCTTTGTATTTTTGGTCCACTTGTGTATAACATTTCCAGATGCCTTTTGTTTGTCCCACTGTTATCAATTTAATTTAATTTTTTTAAAAAAAACATGTCCCCCCGGATCGGTCAATTTCATTATTTTCAATTAGTTTTTGGGACTGTAATTATTTCAAAAAAATTAGATTAAAATATTTCAAAAGATAAAAGTATTCTTAATTTAATTTTCGAAAACAAACAAAACAAGTTTATACAATTAACAAAAGTTATTGGGATCCAAAACAGCCTCCTTTTAGCTTATTTCAACTAAAAAAAAAAAAAAACATCTTTTACAGATTGGAAATTGCAAGGTTTGATATGGGAAATTCGATGTAATCAAGAGTTCTGCACAGAATCTTGATACTATTCCGAGGAAACAAACAGGAGTTTGTTTAACAAACAAAGGAGTCCTTTCAGAAAGTTTGTTTGATTCATGTGGAACCATTGGCTAGGGCATAATGAATGCACAAATGCTACATATACTTCTAAAAGTATATGATATTACAAAGAAATATTGGCACTGACCTGTTAATTGCTAATAATAGAAGCTATTGTTACACATATTATATATATATATATATATATATATATATATATATATATTTGGGAACAATTTAATTGTCATTTAGACTCATTACGTGCAATCATGTGCAAGCTACACTTATTGATTAAGTCCGAATTTACTATCTCAAAAAGAGTCGAACACAAAACCTCGTATGTGTGAAGCCGGCCGTGCAGGCTTTCTTTTGTGTTGTTAAAAGGCTAGAAGTATAAGTTAGGTTGCCCAATACAGAAATTTAGATTGAGTATGAGAACACTACAATATCAAAGGCTCATTCCATACTCATTTTGTAAGTTCAAAAAAATGTGAATTTGTGAAAGATCATCATTTTATACAAATAACTTCAAAAGTTAGATTGTATCCAGTTTATCTGTGCTTGACTAATTGAAGTCACATTCCATAATAATCTTTTATTTAAGTTTTTATATTTTTATGTAAGTCTGCTATCCATCAAGCACACCTTAGCTTATGGGTTTAAGTTGATCTCTAGAAAATTGGCTTAACAAAAATAAATAAATAAATAACACATACACACAACTCCATTTTAGTAACAGATGGTTTAATAATTTGTTTATTTCACTTTGGAATGGCAATTTGTTTGGCCAATTTGCTACAATAAATAGTCAACTGTTTTCTAGGTTTTAGCCAGTTGAGAAAAAGAATTACAATAAACTATTCCACATTGTGAATTCTTGTACTTCACCAATATTGTTGGAAGCAAATATTCTAACAAATTAGTGTCCCATCTCATGGATTTTCTGTTAAACCTATTGAATCCATCTGGAAATTCATTTTGTTTTGTTTATTTGATTTGCACCAAATGGTAAAAACTGATAGTGAGATATCAGTTAACTAATCACATGAATATTCCAAGTATCTCATAATTATGTGGTCTAAAGGTTTGATGAGGACACTTCAACAATTATGTCTGTTTGGCTCAGCTCAACTATTAAAAAAAACTATAGTTGTTGCAATTTACTCCCTCGAACTTTCAAAAAAGCTCACATTGCACCTCCGAAGTTGACAATTTTTAAGTTTAACCATTAAGTAAGACGCGTGTATTGAACGTGACATTAAAAAAATTCTGTATGACCTAAATACTCTTCATAAACTAATAAACTATAAACTTTTCTTCTTTTCAAAGTGTGACAAAAGAGTCATTTTTCTTCTTTTGAAGGGTATTTAGGTCACTTTTTAATGTCACGGTGTCTTACTTAATGGTTAAACTTGAAAATCGTCAACCTCAATGGTGCAATGTGAGCACTTTTGGAAGTTGGAGGATGTTAATTGCAATAATTGATAATTGAGAGGTGCATTTTGCAACATATCAATAGTTGAGGGATGTTTAGTGCACTTTTACCATTTTTAGATATATTAATCTGCACAATTAAAGTAGGTAGCAAAGTCCCAAAAAAACCTCTTGAACTATTGCCCTTTGACAAATAACTCACTTGAACTACTGATTTGTTGTAATTAAGAACAAATCCATCACTAAAGACTATTTTACTTTTTTCTCATAAATTTGTCATTTCTTATTAAATTATTTTCATTCTCTTTTCTCTTATCTAAATATCAATTATACTATTTACCTTAATTTTATTATTAGTATTAATTTATCATAAAAATGAAAGAAAAAAATAGATAGATTTGTAACTACCATTTTCTAAAACGATAAACCTATTATTAAAACTTCACTATTTATAATAAAATTTGTTATACTTGGTTTAAACTATTTTACCCTAGATACTTTCTTTTTCATACACTATATTCATGAAAAATTAATAAATTACTTAAATAAAAAAACACCTTCTTTTCCATGCAATATATTCATAAAAAATTAAGAAATTAATTAAAAAAAGTAAATATCTACTTAAGATTTTTATTTAAACAATTAATTTTAAAAATTTAAGATAAATTTATGCAAATTTAATAGAGAATGTGTCATCAAATTAGTATAGTTTTTTTCATAATTTATTTCAATAAAGAAAATAGATTAAGTGTAATTGAATAAGAAATTGCATTATGATCATTTAATAAAAAAATAGTCTAAGCATTGCGACATTATGTAACAAAATGTGATAGTTTAGGGAGTATTATGCACAAAATATACTTCAAATTAGTTATTTACAAATTCAAACATAATTCAAGAATGTTTTTTTGTTAGTTGTACTTTACCCCAATTAAAGCCGAGGAAGCCTCAACTCACTTTGCCTAACTCTGTACTTAAGCCAAATTAGGTTGAGCTAGGCCAGCTCATAAATACCATTCCTGGCTAACATACATTTTATAATTGAACATGAATATCACTACCCCATAAAATAAAAATAATTAAGAAAAATGAAAATATAAAAAGAAATGAGGGCCATTAAGTGAACTAACTTCATTAATGAATTTGGAGGGGTCCATCTAATGCGATAATGTTTATATGCTTCCCATGATCATCTTTTTGCACTTAAATCTCTAATGATGCTTTTGAGAGATATATATATGGCCATGGCAAACATGTTTAGTTCAAATCCACATGGAAGATTATAATTAAGATGCACAAATCAGAGTGACAAATATTGAAATGATTACACAATACTTAATGTATAGTTGGATCATTATGGACACGTGTGAGGTTTAGCACATTTCCACGCTAATTATTAGGTGGCAATTTATATGATTTCCATGACAAATCTTATCATTATTGTTCTAATTTTACTGTTAAGATTAGGATCTTACATTAAAACAGGAGACAAGATTTGAGAATCCCAATTTCAATAATCTTGTTTCCAAATTTCTGTTGAATGTCCGACATATGGGTGATCAATCGGGGTCAAATTAAGGTGTCGGATTTACTTTAGTTTGAGCATAAAATCAATGTAATTTGTTGCAAGAGGATAAATAAAAAAAAAAATAAAGAAAAAGAAAGAAAGATATGTTAGAGAGAAAAAGAAAGAGAGATATGTTGAGGTTCATACTTTTTGAAGGGGATGTCAGGAGCTTCAGTATAGGTATGTGTGTGCGAAACTCAATTAAAAAAAATGATAGGAAATTGGGCCAATGGGGGCTAGAAATGTCATTTTAGAAAGGAAATAATCTTTTTTTAAGTTAACGTAAAGGCACAAGGGTAACAATACCATTTTTTATGCAAAAAAAAATGTCTTGAAACTATTGAAAAGTAACTTTTAGAGTTTGAGTGAATATCGAATTAAATGTTTGTAACGTGAGTGATCTTTTTGTAAGTTAACATAAAGTCACAAGGGTAACAATGCCATTTTTTATGCAAAAAATGTTTTGAAACTATTGAAAAGTAACTTTTAAGGTTTGAGTGAAAAACGGATCAAACGTTTGTAATATGAATGTTAGTAATTTTCGAAAGGTATTTCAATGTGATACGTAATATTTAGCCAAATATGAGGAACTGTAAGTGAAATTAACTCTATTTTTATTTTTTTATTATTATTTTTTTTAATTCTGTTGTTTGATAATTTTTAGGGGGTGCATTACTCAAATAATAAATAATAGATAAATAAAATTGCGGCCAACATGGATGTCTTGGGAAAACTGAATGGCCAACATCTCTTACTTGGCATTTCAAGGTGGAAACCCATCACCTTTTAGTGGAGGCAGTGGCGCCATTATATATGAAAATTGGAAGCTATATCACACATATCAGGGTATAATTTTGGAAGTCAAAATAACCTAAAAAGGATCACATACCAGTTTTTCTAAGCTCTCCTCTTCTCAACAATCTATCCTGGAGAGGAAATGAATCAAGTGAAGTTAGAACTTAATGGGGTTTCTGGGATTGACACAGTAGATTATATGCTTAATCCGTAATAAGAATACTGAAATGATAGTCCAAAAATTCTGCACTTTTCTGTTTTCATTTTTCCAATTTTCCGATATATTGCAAGTGTTATGAGAAAATATACTCCGTATATAAGTTCACGATAAGGCCGAACTCTTCTTTCCTCCTTAATTGCTGCATATGAGAATTTCGAAACCTCCATGAGAATGCATCATCAGGTCATAACAAGCACTATTAGCTCAGAAAGATGCCTAAAGTTTGTATCGGTCGAATGTGATACAACAACTACACTTCATTTGCATATTGGCAGATGCCGCGTTTTTTTTGCTGTCATTGTTTGGTGAAATGGTAAAAGTTCGAATTATACAAAACACGAAACACTGGATTGGTTGTGAGGACAATCACTTTTTGCAAACAATGCGAAAAGCATGTCTGTACCGAGTCAGAGCACCTTCCAGCGACTACACTAGTGATGACCTTTTCCTACACATGCCATGTATTAATCAGACTCTAATCATGGTTGTAATCTTGATTCTTGACACAAGAAGAAGAAAGTTTTCGATCTTCAGGAAAGGAAGAGTCCATGACTAACCCAGGTCGACGGGGTTCAAATTATGACAATAGTTCATGCATTCAAGAAACATTTAAACTCAAATGTTTTCGAACAGGTAAAAAATATATCTGTTATGGCCAAGAAATATTGATGCAAAATCAGCACTGATAACACTTGCAAGACGAAAAACAAATGAAATAATTAGTGACAAATAATATATAACCTTCTATTAATATTTTTCAACATTTCTTCAGATTCTCTCAGTTATAGATACGGTGAGGCATGGAAATTGGGTAGGAACGTTCATTCTGCTATATCTGAAGAGAATATTAATACATGCCTCGAGCCTTGACGGCCCAGATCATGTATGCAACTTTATCACAGCACTGAAGTTCCACATTTCTTTGTTTAGACCTGTATTATTCCTCTCTAAATTGAAGAAGTTACCACAAAATTTTAGGTTTTTGGCTTCACAATATGCATAATGTTGCATTTGGCATGCTTTGAAATTGGAAATCTAGGTAAACTAATTTAAAATTTTAACTAACAATTCCAATTCCAAAGCGTGGATTCCATGGTACCAAATGCACCATAAGTATGCCTTCAAGAAAATTTTCAATTAGTCTTTTTTTTTACTTTAATTTCTAATTATATTTCATAATTATCAGGTTATCAGGCCTAATAACATTGTAAACAACCTAAGAGGTACATTTGTTTTTCATGCCCTATAGATAAAATTCACAAGATAGAGACATCGTGGTCAAAACTTGGGAAGAGTTGGACATCCAACTAAAAACTGAATCCATCAATTGTGTTTCATACTTTCTTTGTGAATACAAATTTCATAACAACTATCTAAACCTAAAAGTAGGTCGGTACTACTAATTTCTTCTTAAATGGTTCCATTTTGCAGTGATGGATTTTTCTTCTCCCTTTACTGGAGATATAGATTGAATTTCACCTCTACCTTGATTTTGATGTTTCACTAGTCCATATGGTTGAGACATATTGTGTCAAAAATGCCTTTTATGGAAGCCATTTACATAATAGGTTTATACAGTTATTGATCAATACCTACTTAAGCATGTGCATTGAAGATATTCCCCTTAGTAAAAGTCAGCTTAATTACCAATTAAAGCAGCTTTCACAACTTTCTGCTTACCGGAATCAATCTTCAGAACTTCCTATGTTTGTCCAACCTTCATCGGCTTGAGACTTTACAAACTCGGCCAAAAGTTTAATCTCCTCTTCTTGTAGACGTGCTCCAAATGTGCACTGACCCCTTGGTGTACAGTTCTCACCAAAGCCCTGCAGAAACCGGACATTTTTATCTTCAACTGCGTGGAACCACCACAGACAAATGGAAATTTTGGCAGAAAACTTACCGGCATCCTTCCCTTGCCATAGTATGTAATGCGATAAATCTCCTCTTCTGTGTCAGCTCCATTTCTGCAAAATTACCAAGTTAGTTAATCCATGATAGATGTCACAAAAGAAAGGAGCATGGTTCTTCTGCAGCCACTGTGATTGCATATCCGTCCCAATTACTTTTACTACCAAAATATGGAATTGGCCTTATTCCTGTTCATTTGAATACAACTTTGGGACTGAAATAATATACAGCTGAAAAGAGAATATCTTAGTAAAATCTCCTGTAAAGTTATTAAATTTTTTATAATATCAAAAAAAATTTAATGAAGTCTTCCTAATTCGCCAGCTAGTATTTTTTATGTCAGACACTTAAAGAAGAGGCAGTTGAATTGATTGACAAAATCGATAAATTGGGACAGGTCCTCGTCATAGTTCAATATCTGGTTCAGATTTAGATAGAAAAGTCTTTTTAATAAATGATAAGAACAGTAAAATTGGGAAATGAAAAATCGACAATAAGTACCCTTAAAAAGAGAGATGAACTGAGTTTGCGGCAATTTACCTTTGAAGATCTTTCAAGAAGAGTGTTGCACCCTGGAAAAACAATGAAGTTGTGGATTTATAAGTGAGAGATTTGGATCAATGATCATCCGGAATTGATGAATGAAAGAAGACTCACAGGCTGTATTATGTTTCCGCCTGCATCATGACATCCAATGCAAGTTCGGCGAAATAATGAAGCTCCCTTTTGTACTTCTATTGTTTGTCCAAGTGACACTGCAACAAGAAAGAACCTAAGAGAAACTAGGTAAAACGTGGTTATTAAGTTGTGTAAATAATAACTGTAAAAATGGATTTTCTCTTTACAATGGCGGAAGTGATGGGAACTATTTTAAGAGGGGAAATGGAACAAGAAGCAGTGGCCTCAAACAATATAAGCAACAATGTCATTTATGTCTCTCTTCCCTACGAACAAATTTGACAAAACATACACCGCCTCATATTTTTGAAGACCAATAATTCTCAACAATCTTTTTTTCTATCAAAACCAGGTGATGACATTCCAAAAGTCCGAAAAACTAGTTTTTGCGGACAATGGAATGGTAATGCAAATAGACATAACCAAGGTAAGTTGTGTGCCTTCTTCATTTTGGGACAAGAACATCAGAAGCCCGACTTTTTTAAGAGAGAGAATTCCAATGAATTATAGACAGTTGGATGTGTGATATATGTTTTGGATTACCCATGAACTGCTGTTATGTTAATAAATAAACCCTTTGAAAGCTAATTTTCAACTCGGATATGCTTTATGCTTGCAGCAATGGAGAATTCGGATAATAATGTTAAATCCTTATTATTACCTCTTTTTGTAAAAACTTTTATCAGATAATCATGATGGAATTCTGCTCCTTTTATGTATAAAAAGAAAAGGAAGAAATACATGAATTACCATATAGCCCGTATAGATAATGCTATTCTACATCTATCTGTTCTGTTTCTGGGATGTTGTCTCCATACCATCCTTGGATGATAAGCAATCATAAAAATAGAATACGAAAATAGTATGTACAAGAATAAAAAATGTAAGATTGATCCAAAATTCAGGAGTATTGACAGAGAAAACTGGTTTAGATTGAACTGAATAAGAAATCCGAAGCATATATACTTGTGCATGTAAACACACCTGAAGTGTGCATTGAAAAATAATATCATGCCAAGTGTTCCACATCCTAGAGAATGTCATGCCAAAAAATTAGCATGTTCATATATTCATTAATAATCAATTTGAAGCCTTCTTTAGCACTTGCAAACAGCTTTTTTTTATTAAGAGCAGGGTTTTGAAGTTGGAAACTCCTTATTTAGTTTGGAAGTAATCAAATTCACTATCTTCCGATTTTTTCATTCTTCATGCTAAATTTTAAAATACTAACAATAAATAAATAAAATATTTAAAAAAATCATTTTTTATTGGATTTGGCATAATCTTCCTAAGTTTGACCAATTCTGCTGTATTTCTGCAAATTCATTTCAGTTTATCTTCAAATTGATAGTTGACAAGAAACCTTTTTCCTTTAAAAAATTTACAAAAATGAATTTTGCATTTTGGCCAATTTTCTATCCAAACCTTTTCTATTCAAATTCAGTGGTTTATTCAAAATCCAAATTTCAACAAATTTACATAAACTTTTAATTTTGAAACCGCAAGCAAATCTCTAAATGCATAAAGAACCCATGTTGAATACAGGATACTTAGCTATGAACAGAAATACGAATTGGTTCATCAATCTGATTGGACATGCAATTCACAACATATCCTATGATTCATGTTTATAGTGTCAAATGTATCTAAAACTCCCTTTTTATGTTCATTTTCTTATATTATTAACGTCCATGATTAGCATTCTATGTTACAGAAAAACACCTTTTTTGTCATATAACTAAAAGAACAATATTAATATATATGTATAAGGAATTAAGGATATGAATATATATAGTCACAGTATGACAAATCCGATAAAACGTGACACATTCAACGTTCAACACATGTACCCACCCACGTTCATACAAGTAAGAAAATCTTCATGGTCCCAAATATAATATAATTTTACACCACGAAAATGTTCAATGAAACCCATTCACAGTACTCCATAACTAAATTCATATAAAGTATAGACATACATATATACATATAGAAGAAATGTAGCAAAGCTAATAATGGCATTCTGGTATTTTTAATGAAAAACCAGGGGCAAATTATACACTAGCAAAGGAAAAACTGTGAGTAAGTGATGAGTTTTGTTACCTGGTGGATTGAAGATTGGAGATAAGGCTACAATTGCCGCCATTAGAGGTGGAGCGAAGCTGTGCAAGAACCTGACTTGTTGTTGCTTCTGAGCAACTGGGTTTTGTGGCTTGTGTCCATTTCCTTCCCTCACATGCCCCTGTTAGAGAGCCTTATAGACATCAAACACTTGACAATATACAGAAAATATTATGGTGTAGAGACTGACCTTTATTGGTAGGGCATGTGCCCTGTTCTTGCAATTAGGCATTAGAGATAACGGCTGCATCTGTGTGTGTGGGTAAAATTGTGTGTGTGTGTGTGTGTGTGCAAGCAACGCAGTGAATTGGGCAGGGAGGAGGATTTTGGTTGAGCAGCTCAGAACAAGTCCCTTTTTGGGCATGTACATTTATGAAAACAACCGTTAGCAAATTTTAGGTTGTCATAATAGACTATTGCTTTGACGATAAGGCTTTATTTGATTACATGAAAATAGCAAGAATGGAAAAGAAAATAAAATTTTTTAAATTTTTTAAGAGTTTGGTTAGAAAGAAAATAAAAAAAATTTGTGAAAAAGTAATTTTTCAAAATCACTCAACATTTCAACAAATTTTTCTTTAAAAAAAAAAAAAAGAAAAAAAAAAAAAAAAGGAAATATGCTTTCTTGAGAAAATTATATGAAATTCCAATACCCTTTTCTTTTACTTTTCTAAAATAAATTGTGTTTATGCATGATTTTGATAAGAATATTATAATAGTTACCCCCTCTCTCTCTATATCACAAAATTTATTATTTAGATTCTTGTATTAATTTTTTTTTTTTTAAATAAAATATGTATTAAATATAAATTTATTTAGACTAATTGTCATATTTAATTAGAAATGGACAATTTAAGTAAATCACAATTTTTTTTCTATTAACTTTCATATTATTCAAACTATGAAATGAGATTTTCTCACAAGCTTCTTGAAAAAACTTCATGCCACCAATTGAGTCGTAGAAAATTTATTTTCTTTTTCTTCACTTCACTTTCTTTAATTTTCACTTTTTAACATTGATTTCCATTAAACCGAACGGACCCTATTGATAGACTTTTTCCATAAATTAGAGAGAGAGAAAAAAATTAATAATAATGATAATAACATTAGTTATAAGAAGAAGAGAAAATCATAATAATATCGATCTATATTTAGATTAATTATTAATCAAAAAATAATAATTTTCATGTTTGAAAAAAAATAAATGAGAAAAAAGAAAATAAATAATAACTACCAAATTACTTATAATACCTTTTTATAAGATGTAACTCAAGTGTCCTAATAATAAGTTATTATATTAATTATTGAGGATAGTTTTGAGATTATAAAAGTATCACTTAACTCATTATCGTTTTTTTTTTTCAAATCTTTTCAATTTTTTTTTTTTTTTCTTTTCTTTTCTTTCCACAAAAGACAACCCAAATTCAAACCTCTCTATTATTTCTTCTCTTTTCTTTTGAAATTCCTTCAAATTATTCAATCCAAACGAATAAGCATGTGTTCAAAGTTGCAATTACTTTGCTAAACAAAGATAAAAGGTTATTAAATTTGATTAGAATCTAATCCTTCTAACTATTGATATAAAAAGACTGAGTGAAAAAATAATAGAAACAAAAGGTTACATTTTATAGATTTCAAAATTTTTTGGTTATGGTGTAGAGTGAAACTCGTCAAATAATTCGTCTTATTTATTGGTTAAACTACAAGGGAAAAAAAAAATAAAAATAGTGATTTGTAGCATTTTTTTAAGAGGTTTTTGGGCAAAAATGTAAGTTGAGAGGACTTTTTGCAATTTACTCGAAAGAAAATTATAAAAATTTACAACTTAAAATCGATGTGCTCAAGCAGAGTTGATTTGCCGTATTTCTTAATTATAAATATAACAAAACTCAATTCCATAATATTTAAAAATTCATGTGTCTATCTAGACTTTTATTTATTTAATACCTTTAGCGCGCGCGCCCACACACACACACAGAGAATTGTTCACTTACTCTCTGGTGTGCAGGAAAATGTATGCACACCTCAAATATTAACCGTTAGATTCCATTGGGCAATTAAAAAGGTAGTTTATTCTTTTATATCCAACGGTTAAGTTTTAATTTTTAATGATTTTTGTTAACATTTTAGCTTGTTTAGACTGTTTAGTTAATTTTATTTGTTCACTTACTCCCTGGTGTGCAGGAAAATGTATGCACACCTCAAATATTAACCGTTAGATTCTATTGGGCAATTAAAAAGGTAGTTTATTCTTTTATATCCAACGGTTAAGATTTAATTTTTAATAATTTTTGTTAACATTTTAGCTTGTTTAGACTGTTTAGTTAATTTTATTACTAATATATATATATATACACACACACAGAATTGTTCACTTATTCCCTTCCCTGGTGTGCAGGAAAATGTATGCACACCTCAAATATTAACTGTTAGATTCCATTGGGCAATTAAAAAGGTAGTTTATTCTTTTATATCTAACGGTTAAGATTTAATTTTTAATGATTTTTATTAACATTTTAGCTTGTTTAGACTGTTTAGTTAATTTTATTACTAATATATATATATATATATATACACACACAGAATTGTTCACTTATTCCCTTCCCTGGTGTGCAGAAAAATGTATGCACACCTCAAGTATGAACCATTAGATTCCATTGGGCAGTTAAAAAGGTAGTTTATTATTTTATATTCAACGGTTAAAATTTTATTCGTGCATAAATTCCTTGCACATCAGTGAGCAGGTGAACACTCCTATATATACATACATACATATTGTATAAAGTATAGAGTAATTTAAATAAAAAATGCAGTATATTACACTGATAATATGACCATAAATGTAAACACTCTCATACAACACATTTCCTTTGAGAAATGCAACACTTGTGCAATATATTGTATTAAGATGTAATATTGTAATAATATTACATCTTAATTGTTGTTTTATTTTTGATTTAATTATGTTATAATGTTATATATATATGTATATTATAGTTCGCAATCGCGGTATTAATATCGGTCGCGGTGTAATGAATTCAGACAAAATTAATATAAATTAACTGTTAATAATCGCGTATCAAATTTTAAAAAAAATTGATACATCGACGATATGATAAACCATGTTATATATATATATATATATATATATATACACACACAGAGTATATAAAAATATAGTCACAAATGTGTGCCAGGATCCAATTCATCCTCCAGACCAGAGAGTGTCAATGAACATTATTGATCATGCCACGTTTGACACTTAGCTTTTCAAACAGAATTCAAGACCACAAGCTTCTTGATTGTCTTATTGTGGTTAAAGTGTCAAAATTAATTTACGTCACCGTTTTGTTGGTACGTTTACGACAATCTTACATGATGACATGGTGGCCATTGTGAATTGAATCACACGCCTTTTGTACTTTCGTAAAGTTTCAACCTTTTTACCGTTCAAAAAATAATTACCTTGCTTTTGTTTTTTTCATTGTTATCAACTTTAATAAATTCAGAACAATAAATATCATTTTATTATTATATTACATCTTTCTATAATTTTATAAACATATTATTAATTCGTCGTAAGAAAAGAAAACAAAAAATTAATCAAAGTGATCAATAGATAATTTTTTTTTTTTGTAATCTGATTATAAAAGTTATTTATTTGAAGTCATCTTTCACTTGCATTATATAATCAATTTTGCATTATAACTACGTATATTAAATTAATTTTAAAAAATTAAATTAGTAAACTTATTTCGGACTTGAACCTCTCTGCCTTCACGTAAATCACAAACTACTAAGTCAAACTCAATTTTAAATAAATTACAGATTTAGTATGATTTTTTTTTATTTTTTTATTTTTTTTTTCTTTTCCGGTTGGATGTATAAAGTTTGAAAGAAGTTTTAAAAGAAATGAAAAGAAAGAAGAACCAATTTGGAAATTTTGAATAAAGGAAAATGAGAAAATGAAATATACTTTTATAAAAAAACAACTCATTTTTTTCTTAATATAAATAACGTAAATGTCATTTATACTTGATTGTCATGAATTTAATTAATGTCAATAATATTATTTCACATTAAAAATTGGAATATTACATTTATTTCACATAAAAATTAGAGTATTATGGTTATTGAATAAAAATAAAATGAATAATTAGAAAAACCAATTGCAACTTGAGAGGGAAAAAAAAGAAAAATTGAATAACAATATAGTTGCTAAAGAAAAAAAGAATAACAATGTCCGAGTAATTACAATTTTCAGAAAACAAAAATAGAAAAAGTAATTTTGATAAGACTCTAATGGTGACACTTTATCATTAATCAAACTACTTTCCTTTAAAATTACTATATTATCCCTATTAGTTTCTGAGAACTACTTTTTACATAACAGAAAGCAAAAAGGTCTTTTAAACCTTCACGGCTACGCTCCGTCATCAACAATCTCAAATTCATGATCTAATTCAAACCCTAATTTCGACCCCTTTTTGAGTCCATCCAATCGAAAACCTTAAAATTTCGATCTATAAATCTGTTAATTTTTGATTTCGTATTCATTTCCAATACACTAAATTTCATGATTATATCCTTAATATAGCTGCAGAGTTTACTGTATCTGTTGTTGACTTAGGGTTTGGAAATGGCGTTGTTGGAGGACATCTTACAATCGTTGGAGCTGTGGTTGAAGCTCATCAAGACGCCACAGCCCTACGTGGACCCTAATCTTGACCCTGTCCTCTTGGTGCCTGGTATCGCCGGGTCGATAATGAAAGCCGTTGATGACAACGGTGGAGAAGAGCGGGTTTGGGTTCGGATTCTCGCCGCCGATTACAAGTTCCGAACTAAACTTTGGTCTCGCTTTGATCCTTCGACCGGTAATTCTTTTTGGAAACTGACTTTATGAGTTTTTGCTTGCTCAATTGATTTTTTTTTTTTTTTTTGGGGGGGGGGGGTGGGAATTTTTGGGTATATAGGTAAACTCTAAGAAAGAAGATAATTTGATCAAAATTTTGTATTTTAGTACATTTGAGTTGCTCTTCCTTCTTTTTTTTTGTATTAATTATTTATTTATATTGGTGTAATGAATTATCCATTCTGACTTTTTTTTTTTTTTTCTTCTTTCTTCTTTCTCTCTTTATAGATAATTCAGGTGGAAAACTGTGATTGATGAGTTTAGGAACCTAAATAAATAAATGTTCTATGAGCTTAAATCTACTCGTGAAGTGTAGTTTTAAGCATTGTTGAATGTTGGTTTAGTTTTGGCAAATTTCTGGAACAAAAGTGTTTGTTGTGTGTCCTGTGAACAAAATGCTTGATGGTAATTCTTTAATAGATGTTTAGTATATGACAAAATATACAGTAAATTGAAAGGGCACCTGATTGTAGGGCTCATTTGAGGCATAAATTTTGGAAGAAAGAAAATCTGAATAATGCTTTACCTCGTTGCGACTGCTTAACATATGTAACATGATTTCTCGCATTCTTTTTTTACTTTATGGATCATCATGTTTTTGAATATGCTGACAAATGTCTTTTTTGTGTGGAGCAGGTACAACCGTGACTTTGGATCCCAAAATTAATATTATGGTCCCTGAAGATAGATATGGGCTGCATGCCATTGATATCTTGGATCCTGATATGGTGTGTTTTGTCTCCTAACACTTCTTTATGCATTTTAGAGCTTTTCTAATTTGCAGAAGTTGGATTTTGTTTGAGTATGTTTCAATTAATTTGGTTTTCTGCTTCTTATGATATCTTTTGGGATTTTCAAAAAACAGCTTAATGAAATTGTATTAATAAATGGTATCCCCGAAAATTGGTGTCAAAATTGGCATACTGTGATAAACTTGTGTTGGTGGGATCCATATTTGGAATAGAGAAGATATAAAGTGAGAAGTTCCTCTGTGAAACCAAGACTTGCTTTACAAATTACTTTTGTCAATATCATCACTACTTTGTGATAAGTCATCGTACCATCGAGGTTGAAATTGGCTACTGTAGCAGTGAAAACTTTTATATTACTTTTTTTGATAAAGAAAGCTCCGATATCCAATTGTTGCATGTGCGGAAGTGTTTGTACTATTTTATAGTGTTCAAAGCACGTATCAATCAAGGAAAGTAGTAAATTCAACACACAATCACGCAATAAGAACACAAGAATATATGTGGTTGGCACATTGCCTACAGGGAGATCAGATCTACTATTATAAAATATTAGGATTACAAGATAGAAATCATTCTCAGATTCGATGAAGCAAAAGACAGCCAACTTGCATAAAAGCTACCAGCAGGTACATTTTATCTTTGTGTACTGCTCGCTCTCCTAGAACTGGCACATCCCTAAGTTAACATAATCCAAGACGATGTTGAAAATTGACCTATTACAGCTGATCTATCTGATGGAGTTGTTAAATTTGGAGAAAAAAGGCCATATGATTGGAAAATATAGAAGTGAGGTCCACTCACTTGTGGTAGACAGTTGAATATTAATTAAACTATCCTTTATAATCAATGACCATCGCTTATTCTATAACCATAAATCAATGTCCATCGCTTATTCTATAACCAAATTTGTTTTCTTATAACTCTTAAAGCTCGCTTTATTTTTTTATGGTTCAAACCTTCTTCCCATATGCATTTGCACCTAATGATTATCATGTAGATAATCTTACAAAAGGGTGGTACCTATATGTATTTGTATGCACTTCTAGGATACTCATGTAAATTTATTTGTTGCCTCCTAAATGCATCCATCATTATTGTTATTATTTTTCCTTTCAAACACGTATTTGATAATTATGGACACGACTAATATGACTTGAAAGTTGAGATGTGGTATTTTTAGTATAGTAATCAGCTATAAAGTATAGGGAAAAATGTCTAGAGTTTTAGTTACTTGTACTAATTCTTAAAGATATATTTTTGTCGTACTTCGTTCTAAATAATGTCATGCAACATAATTCTCACTTTTCTGTTTTGAGTTCTAATGCAACAAGTTTTAGAACACAGAATATTTATTACAGTAAAAAAAATGACGACTTTTCCTAATACGTGTGAATATCATGGTAACAATTTTTATTTTGATGTTTGTACATATTTATGTACATATATACATAAACTTCTACAGTTCTACATATATAGACTTCTGTTCTTTCTGCATCCTACTCTCTCTCTCTCTCTCTAAGAATTTGTCCTATCAATCATTTATGTCATGCTGTATCTATATCATGTCTCTGCAACCGTGCTTCATAGTTGATTTGTAGGCTACTTGCACTGTTGTACAACTTAAGAGATATATTGCCATGCTTTAAGGCATATCAATGCCTACAATACTCGGTACTCTTTCCCTTCATTAGATTTTTGAATGATTCTGTTTTGTTTTTATTTCTTCCAGGTAATAGGACGTGATTCTGTAAATTATTTCCATGATATGATAGTTGAAATGATCAAGTGGGGTTACCAAGAGGGGAAAACGCTTTTTGGGTTTGGATATGATTTCCGCCAAAGCAACAGGTACCCGCCACTCTGGGTGTTGAGTTAAAGTGCGAAACAGTGGGTGCATGATAAAAAATTACTTGTTATGTGATTGAATATCCTATGATAAGAAGGTTATGGTTCAGATCCCATATCTTGGAACCTCACCAATTAATTGGTTTCTTATTTAGTTATTTTCAATTCTAATGTAAGAAGCATGGACACTTCTATGACGGTGTCATGTCTTTGTTAAACACCGCTTCAGACACGACACTTCATGGACACATGGTCCATAATTTAGAAAATTTCTATCAATTCAAACACTTGGCCGACACATCCCAGACACATAACTAACACATCCCACGCTCTCCAATTCAAGTCTTATATATTACAAAAAATATAACAATTTCAAAAATGACATACGGTTCAAAATGTCCAATCTCTTTTCCTTTTAAAAGAAAATTATAACCCTATATACGTCATAACATGTACTGAAACTTTTCATAAATGACAAAACTATAATTATAGTGATAAGGCGGGAGAGTAACTACATATATAATATTAGGATATTCACATAGCCCTGTCCTGTAAATTATGTAACTTTTAGTACAGAAATTATTAATTAGTGTTCTAAATTTTTTTTTTAAAAACGATTATAACAATAACTTTTATTTATATTAGTCGTGTTCACGTCGTATCCATGTCCTACTTTTTTAGAATGTGACGTCTCACCGTATCTATGTCGTATTGTGTCTGTCTCTATTGGGTTGTCCATGTCCGTGCTACTTAGATTTTATATATTTATTTATTTTATTTTGGTGAGATATCACTTGTTGAAATTGATTTTTGGGGAATTTTTTTATTTTTTTTATTTTCTTCTACACAGGTGACAAAAAACTGTGATAACGTGCTTCTTACATTGAGTCATGTGGGTTTAATAGATATTTGGGGAATTTTTTTTTTTTACTTTCTCTACACAGGTGACAAAAAACTGAGATAACGTGCTTCTTACATTGAGTCATGTGGGTTTAATAGATATTTGGGGAAATTTTTTTTTTTACTTTCTCTACACAGGTGACAAAAAACTGAGATAACGTGCTTCTTGCATTGAGTCATGTGGGATCCTCATGACTCTTCTGAACAAAACCAATTTAAAATGACGAGGATGGGATTAAGTCCCTGTTTTAAAATGTGTGTGTCTCCCAACTCTTCTTGCTCTTTCTTCCATGGAGCATGCAAGTAGGGTATTTTGTTCTGGATAGGATTAAGTCCCTGTTTATGGAATAAATGAACCAAAATCTGGATAGGATGAGTATTGGGATCTTAAACCCCCTCCCCCCAAGTGAAAAATAAGATGAGATTAATTTTCCACGAAAGGGACATCCTTGTAAAATTGATCCAATTTGGCTTAATCCATTTCTGCAAACTAAACACAGCCTCTTAGTTTTCTTTGCAAACCTTAATCATTTGTTGTTCCCTTCCACTGTGTCATCCTTAATTCCATGATTTGCATTGGTTCCATATCCTATACATGCAGTGATTTTAATGGGTGGTCTTCACTAGCTTTGGTCTCTAGGTAGTTGTTTAAATCAGTTTGAAGTATGATTCTAGTCCACGTTCACTGCAAAACCAGGAATCTCCTGTTGAGAGCCACTTTGAAATGGGTGCCGTCTGGGGATGTTGCTTCTGCTACCCCTATTCCAGCACTTGATTTTTTATTATTGTACAGGAAAGCACTTCCTTCTACATTTTATTTACTCGGAATACCATGGTTTATATCAGCCTTTTGAGTTCTTTTTCTTTTTTCTTTTAAGGGGGGTTTTACAAAATCATATCCAGTCATCCATGATATGAAATTATTTTTAGTGTTCTAGCTTACACTCTTATATATGATTATAGTTCTCAATTGAGGCCATAAACATGCTTACTTTTTTGTCCTTTGTTAGGTTTCAAGAAACACTGGAGCGCCTTGCTGCAAAACTGGAGGCTGTGTATACTGCTTCAGGAGGCAAAAAGATAAACATAATTAGTCATTCAATGGGGGGACTCCTGGTGAAATGTTTCATGTGCTTGCACAGTGACGTAAAGAATCTACATTCCTCACTTCTTAAAATTTCTTTTATTTCTTTCCTTGTTTGTTCTTTCCCACCTCACATGGTTCATGTTCTTTCGAACTGGGGCTTCTTTTATACGCAAAAGTCAAATAGTTTTATAATGAAAGACATCTTCTGCAGATATTTGAGAAATATGTGAAGAACTGGATAGCGATTGCTGCACCATTTAGGGGTAAGTGATCTTTTATCGTATGAATACATGTTAGGACAAATATATTAGCTCTGAACCATTTAAGGGTAAGTGGTCTTTTACCGTATTGATATATATGAGGACAAATATATTAGCTCTGAGACTGCAAATTCTCTAAGCCTGATAAGTTTGCTTTATATACATGCAGAACATGTGTTTCTGTTTTCTTCAAAGTCCTACATTTTCAGGCATCAGAAAATTTAAAGAACTTGATATATTAAAATTCATATATATATTTTTCAATGGTCTCATCAATATTTTCTTCCAAGACCAACCATTCGATGTTCTGTTTGATTTTCATCTAAAATTTTGAAGTCTGATTGAATGGTGTAAGCTTCCCCATTTTGTATATATAGATTCTAGGGGAAGTTAAGTTTCAGATACTTTGTATAAGTTGTATAGAGCATAGATGATTTGGTTTCATTTATTAAGTATAAATACTGTAAGGCTTAATGGAGGTTTGTTTTGGAATATTTTTTTTTCTGATGACAGGTGCGCCTGGATATGTTACATCTACCTTTTTGAATGGAATGTCATTTGTGGAAGGGTGGGAGCAGAATTTTTTCATATCAAAATGGAGCATGCACCAGCTGGTACTAGTCCAGTACTTTTTAGATTTTTAAACTTTAATTAGTTTCTTGTTTTCTTGTTGATGCTATTGAATTATCTTGCATTATTTGATTATTATCAGAAAGTAACTTCCTTTTTCGAGAATTGGGTTTTGAGAATTACACCAATCCTTATTAATCCGTTAACATAATCTATATAAAATTTATTTTTAACAAATTTTTTATCTTACTGCTTTTTTCGATTGGGAGGGCAGAGGATATACTAGTACCTTGTGTATGCTTGCGTACTTCCCCCCCCCCCCCCCCCCCCCCCCCCCCCCCTCTCCCTCTCCCATTTTATTTTTTTATTTTTACTTTCATTGTGGCTGGATCCTTTTTTCTCTGCCCTTTTTTATTGATTGAGGTGCAACCGATCTGAGTGTGGCTTGATTCTTTTATGCAGTGACATAAAAGAATAAGGGGCATCTTCCTAATTATGGCTCCATCCATTTTTTTTTTTTTGTTCTTCTTCTATAAGCAGCAAGCAAAAAAATGGGAAATTGCCTGCAGTCTGTCAGCTAGATTATGCAGTATGAATGTACCATAATTTGACACTTCGGTAATTGTGAAACATGCATTTTCATCCAACTGCTACTGCTTCTTGCCCCTCGCTTTTTCTCTACTGTTCACCCACACTTATGGAAGGAAACAATTTGCTAATAGAGAAGTGTCTGGCTTTTCGGATTATGTCGTGATGAATTGTTGGGTAGTTAAATTGAATTTTTCAGCATCTATGATCTTTGAACACATTACTTCCCACTTTGAGTGTTTTGCTGTTCTAAACTTCTAGTTCTAATAGCCTTGCTGCTCACATCCTTGTGCTTCTGGTGCTTTTGTTGCATTATAATTTGCCAATGTATTTCTTTTTGTAGTTTTTTATAGATTAGTTGCTAAGGAACTGTAATGTTGCAGCTGATTGAATGTCCCTCCATATACGAGTTGATGGCTTGTCCTGATTTCCATTGGCAACATGATCCTCTTTTAGAATTCTGGAGAGAGAAGCATGATAGTGATGGAAAGTCCAAAATTGAGCTGGAGTCTTATTCCACAGCAGAAAGTATATCAATTTTTACGGAAGCGCTTTCAAGTAACACGGTGAGCAATAAACTTGATTGAGTACATGATACTTCTGTCTTGTTCATAATATAAGTTTCAATGAAACATTGAAATTAAAATAATATTTAGATATTTAGATAAGTTGTCAATCGTGGACGAAATGTCAATTATAAATAAAAGTGTATGTTCTTTTACTTATTTAAATAAAAATCTTGTGTACAAAATTTATTGTATTTGACACACTCAAAACATATTTGTGATTTCAACTATTATTCGTAACTTAAAAAGAAAAAGACATTATCCAGTGGTGTTCGTCCTGCTTAGACGTGGTGCTGAGATAGGTGGACTTCATACAAGCCTAACATTTGGTATATTTTGTTATTTGTGCTTATTACCAGTCTCTGTTGCTATAGCAACTATCAGTGCTGCTTATTTTCTAAACTTAAACCAAGTACAACATCTTGGTTTCTCCATAAAGATTCATGGTGGGTTGTGCTGTCCTGTCTCTTGGTATAGAATTGTAAGATGTGTACTTGTATGGCTTAAATGGACTATTAACTTGTGTACTTTTTTTTGCCATTCCAGGTTAATTATGATGGGGTGGATATTCCTTTACCATTTAACTTGGAGATATTGAAATGGTCTAATGAGACACGAAAAATCTTGTCTTGTGCTAAGGTTCCACCTCAAGTTAAATTCTACAATATTTATGGGACGAACCTTGAGACACCTCATAGTGTCTGGTAAATACCTTCCTTTTACCTTTTGGTCAAAGTTTCCATATGCCTATTGCTCCCAATTGAAGTTTCAATTATCCTATAATCTTATGGCTCTTGAACTTTGGAATTTTAGAATATAGTTAGACACTTGGAAGGAATTTTTTTTTTCTTTTCTAAATGCTGATAAGGATATTGATTTTTAATATGAGTTTATTTCTCTGCAGCTATGGTAGCGTGGAGGCACCTGTCACAGATATACAACAGTTGCCATTTTCCCAGGCAATAATCATGACTATTATTAAGCTCATCTAAGTTTAATGTGGCTGTTTATGCATATTCTTTTAATGATATGTCTGTTATATATATTTTTTAATGTGGCTGTTATATTTCCATATTATGGATACAAGGAATATATGTGCATGATTTGTTAGTTACTGTAGCTTGCGGTTGCACATTTTCAGGCTAAATACATTTGCGTTGATGGTGATGGAACAGTCCCTATGGAATCTGCAAAGGTATGACTTTCTTATTTGATAAATTTTCAGTTATTTATTTTCTTATTAGTAACTTTGAGTAAAAGTTCAAATGTCAGTAGTGCTCTCCTTAGGTAAAGGTTTTATAGGAGTTGCAGAATACTCATCTTTTCCCATGTTTTTGTAGAATGAGATTCAATATAGTTATAATGACGCTGTACCTCTGTTATTGCCCTATACTGTTAATAGGCTAACTAGATAAGTGAGATGTTTAAATTCCGAGAGTAAGAAAAATGAAAATGGATATCAGTAGTTGGAAGGTTTGAGTTTATTTGAATTTATATTTCATGAGAGAGAGGAACTCTAAAAGAGAAAAACTAGAAATGGATTTATACGTTTATTGGTGGAGAATGTAGTTGTGAATGGAAAGGAAGGAGGGGGGCTGTTTGGTTGTTGGGAATTAACACTGAATATAATGGGCTGTACTAACACTGAATATAATGGGGAATTAACCGATGAGATGAGCTGTTTGATGGGGATATATTCATACCCTTATTAAAGCAAAGTGAAACAGTTTGCTTGCTCTTTAACGAATTAAGTTTAAATACTTTTCTTTTGCTTATATTGGTTGCAAAATTTTTAAATAATTAGGTTTCATGCAACATCTTTTAAAATGGAAAGAGTAATCAATTTGGAGAATATAGGTCAAGAAAAAAATTGTCAACCTAATTATAGGATAATGTTTTTATGTTTTCCATTGAATTCTCCTTTTCCCTTTATCCTTTTTCATGAATACTCCTTTTGAAATTTTAATGCATTTCACCTACCAAGTATGTTTCTCTTATTTGAATACTGGTGTGTTCAATCTGAAATTTTAATCAGCCATGTCTTAGTTGCTTTTCCATTTCCGTCTTCAGGCCGATGGGCTCAATGCAGTAGCAAGGGTTGGAGTTCCTGGTGAGCATCGGGGAATCCTGTGCGACCGCCATGTATTTCGGATACTCAAGCACTGGTTAAAGGCAGATCACGATCCTTACTACAATCCTCTAAATGACTATGTGATCCTACCCACTTCATTTGAAATCGAAAGACACCAAGAAAAGGGGCTGCAAGTAACATCAGTTAAAGAAGAATGGGAAATCATTTCAGAAGATCACGACGACAAGACTAATAGAAAGCCTTTGGTGAGCTCTATAACAGTTTCTCATGTGGGAGACGACAACCAATCTTCACCGGAAGAGGCCCATGCCACAGTTGTCGTTTACCCCCAAAATGAGGGTAAGCAGCATGTTGAACTGAGTGCTGTGAGTGTCTCTGCAGGTAGTGCTTAAAAGTTGCTGGTTTGAATTGTTGTATCATGAAATGTGAAAGAAAGGGGGCTTTGCCGTGTATTAGCTTGTGTGGTTGGAAATATTTCTGTACATATACGAGCTACGCATGACATTTGCCCTAGTTTGATGTGTAATTAATATATTTATAAATATAGTTGTACAGAGCATTAATAAATAGTAATAAAGAAAGCATTTGTTAAACTTGATACTGTGAAAAATTTCCTAGAGTTCAGAATCTGACATAGTATGAGTGATTTGTTCACTAAAGCTCAAATGAAACCCATAAATATAGACATATTTCAATTAGAGAAAAGAGCTGCTTGTTTTCATTGAGAAACAATCTGTGTTATATGATTGTCTGTATTACGGAGTATAAAAAGAATACATATTGTAGCTATGTTCATCTATAGAAGTAACTAAAGTACACACAGAGTACACAGTATATATCTATGCATTTGGCAATCCTCAGAAGCACATATCGAAGCAACAGAAGCAACTGTCCAAGCAGCATAGGCAACAAAGGGCTGCACAACTGCAGTAACACAATCCGGCACTTCAAGCATTAGTTTTAATGCAAAATTATATATATGTATGTGTAATGTGTGTATGTGTGTGTGAGAGAGAGAGAGAGAGGTTGCTTCAAAGTGCTTACCATCCTTTCCAAAACCCACAACCACTGCTGCGCTTAGATTTTGCAGGAGGAGGTGGTTTTTGATCGTAGCCAATACCATGGTAAGTTGGTGGTGGTGGAGCTACATAAGGACTGCCTGTAGTGTATACTTGGGCCTGTGCTGAATAGGACATAGGAGGCGGAGGATGAGGATGAGGATGAGGATGTGGCGGAGGATAAAACTCCGGTGGCGGAGGATAGAACTGTGCTGGCGGTGGATACACAGCCGGGGGAGGAGGATACGGGGCACTTGGCGGAGGATACGGTGCCGTTGGTGGGGGAGACACCCCTGCAAATTCACCTGCCGGAACTTGGTGTTCCTTGTCGTAACTCATGGTTAGCTCAACCAATATGTTGCAAGGAAATTGAATTCCCTGGAATTGTGACAGAGAATTGGCTAAAGAGAGTGAATTCTTTAGGAATGCATGATACTTCAAATATGCAAAAGGGAATGCTAATGCTTAATGATATTCATAATTGGCGGCTGTTGACGAAGAGATGAAAGTGGCACTATGGGTTCTTTTCAACTTGGGTGGTTGAAACTGATATATATATATATATATATATATATTATATTCAAAGAATGTGTTTTTAGTCAATCACGCCAATTTCATTTGTGGTCAGCTTCTAGATGATCAGACAAAACCAAGAATTTTTTATTTAATATTTATTTTTTATAAAAAAAAATTCAAGCAATTTGTATAAATAAAAGTATATGAGCCCGTAGACAACCGCCGGACTAAAATTTTATGTGTGTGTATATATATATATAATACTATCTCTGTCTCACTTTAATTATCGCTTTTGAGAAATGTGATTTACAAAATTGTAAGACACATTGTTCGGAAGCGACAATTAAAGTGGGATTTGTGAGTTACATTTCTCGACAGGCATAATTAAAGTGAGATAAAGGTAATATTGATCATGTTCTTTTACCAATTGTCATGATAAGGGTATTTCATAGCTCTACTTGTACGGCTATGTTGATTTTATGCTCCATTGTTTCATTAGCCACTCCTCTCTCTCTCTCTCTCTCACACACACACACACACTAGAATTCCAAAGCTGCCATAAGCTCCGAATTTGAAAGCAGAATAGAAAAAGCAAATGTTTTTGACAATTAACTATATTGTTGCACGGGCGTTTTCTAGGAGTAATTTTTCATTACATGTTCTAAACAAAGTTTCATCACTAGAATGGCAACGCCTTCTGATGACTAGCCTTGTCTCGCAGTGGTTGCTGCCATTTTTATATGGTCCGGTGAATTCCAAAACAACTTCACAATTTTTGTTTTTAAGTCTAATTTTATTTTTCATCTGTTTAAAGTATAAATAAACCAAGTTATTTATTAACAATTCAAACTAAGCTGGTTAAACATTTTATTCATTTTTATTTATTAACCAAACGAGTCAAACTTGATCTCATATTTAGTTTCATTTACTTAAAACTTAGTCTAAATAGTGTCCATTAGAATAAGCAAACTCAGTAGTATTTTTTTACCTTCACAAATACACCACCACATATAATTTCAGGGAGGGCTATCCCAGAATCACTTAACCTAAAAGGCTACATTTCTAAATTATGTATGAATTGTAATAGGCAAAATCAAATCAACATCTTAGCATACCTATTAAAATAAAGCCCAGAATAACTAGCATGTCTGAAAATTCCGTTTACTTCTTCATTTTCTTTCCCAAATTGGGTTTTCAAAATTAATGTCAGCATATTCGGAATCAATCTAGACCAGTATGTTTGGTTGCAGAAGAAAGACAAGGGAGAATGATAATAAGTGGAACCCATTATTTCTAGGCATAGTAGTAGAATGTTGTACCGAATAATAGCCATTTTTAGACTTGAGACAAATATATATATACATATATATTTCCATTTGACTAGCATGATCTTTTTTTTTTTAAAAATACATGTGACTCAACAAATTTTAGTATTTTGAGTGTTGAGAAAGATTGGTTATAATCATTTGAGGTCCCAAATAACTCAATATTGAAATTTTACAGAACTGATCAACTAAAAGTAAGGGTAAGAATGTACTCAAGAATTTGTCATCAGAAAATTTAGGGTAAGAATGTACTCTTCTCAGCATTCAAGCACCTAAAGAAAGCACATGTTAGTGGGTCCTACCTTTAAAAAAAAAAATGTTAGTGGGGTCCTCCTAACATTCGATGCCAGCTGTAAAGCACCAAACTTTAATGGATGGATTGGGAGGTCAACAGGGTTAGGTTCTGATCCTTTGCTTGTGCCTTCTGGTTTAGGTGTGGAAATTAAGAAATTGAAGGATTCATTTCTTCAATCCCCACTGAAACTTAACAAGAACTCTTCACTGCATTTGAAATGGATACAGAGAATTGGTTATGGCTAAATTGTCTCATCACACTTGCTGCAATTCTCATACCCTTTCTTGTTTTCATCAAGAAGAAGATCAACAACACTTCAGTATCACCCTCACCCTTAAACACTACTTCATTAGAACCTTCGAACACTTCTTCATTGCCCACCTCTTCACCTGCAGGATGGGACTATGAAGTGTTCTTGAGTTTTCGCGGCAAAGACACCCGCACCACCTTCACTGACTACCTCTACAACGACCTTGTGGAGGCAGGAATTCGCACGTTTAGAGACGACGACGAGCTTCGTGTTGGAGAGAAGATAGGTCCTGAGCTTCTCAAGGCAATACAGCACTCCAAGATATCCATCCCAGTCTTTTCCAAAGACTATGCTTCAAGTAAGTGGTGCCTGCTTGAGCTCACCAAGATGGTCGATTGTAGGAGGACTTTGGGGCAAATCATATTACCCATTTTCTACGACGTCGAACCATCCGATGTGCGACACCAGACGGGGACTTACGAAAAGGCCTTCCGGCAGCACAAGAAGCATTTTGATAGTGCTATTGTGGAGGAGTGGAAGGAGGCATTGAAGGAGGTTGGAAAATTGAAGGGATGGGAAGTGAAGAAAGTTGCTGATGGGTAATTGTGTACATCTACTTTTATATACTGATTATGCTATTTTAACTTTTCTGATTATTTTCCATTACATGGATATTTTCCTTATTAGCACCAACTATAAACTTGTTTGCTTCAGTTTTCTGAAATTGTGCACTAGTTTAACTTAGTTTACAAGCATAAGTGTTTACTCCATTAGTCTTGGCCCAATGGAAAGGCGACATGTGGCAAGTTCCAATGAGCTTGCCACACTGGATTGATGCTTTAAAATGTCCAAAAGAGGAAGCGTGATATGGAATTGTTGAAGTTTGATCTTGTGTCTCCACCAATAGGGAGGAAGTATGTGGCGAGTTCTAATGTAACTTACCACGTTAGATTGCAATTCTTATAAATTATTATTCGAAGCTATACAGTATTACAAGTGGGCCAGTATAGTTTTGCTATATGGGTTATTTTCTATTTTTGTTAAAAGTTAGGATTTGCCATCTTTAAAGAAAGGGCCGAACCTTTCCTCCAGGAACGGCCGAACCTTTCCTTCAGGAAGGGTCGAACCTTTCCTACAAAACGGCAGAACCTTTCCTTCGGAACGGCCGAACCTTTCGTAAACCTTTCATTCAGAACGGCCGAACCTTTGGTTCAGAAGAGCTGAACCTTTCCTTCAGAACGGCCGAGCCCTTGGTTCAGAAGGGCTGAACCTTTCCTTCAGAAGGGCCGAATCTTTCTTTCAGCACGACCAACCAGGAGACCACGATGCCATGAATTCTAAAGCTTAGAAGGAAAGTCTGAAGGAAGGGAAGTTACCAAAGTTTAAGGGACGTGGGCAATTATATATTTCTGGTATATATATATATATATATATATATATATTACCCACGATAAGGAAGTCACTGAAAGTCAAAGACCACGACGCCATGAAAGGAAGATTCTGTAAAAGGAAAAGACTACAAAGAACATGGGACACTTGGCTAAATATAAACACTTCAGTTGAAAGTGGTGGTACTTTATATAGTAACTACCACTAACTGAGGAATCTGTCGAAGGTTATGGATAACAAGGGTTAAATTAGTGGAATCATGATCTGAAATAAAGGAGAAGGCCACGCATAAGGGAGAAGACTAAGGAAAACATGGGACACGTGGCAAGATCCGAACCTTCCAGGTGGAAGTTCTCAACTGCTGCTGGAATTGCCGATTTTCCATCTAGGTAGTTCCAGAACGTGGGAGAAGGTTTACAAACATATATACAACTGCCAAGGCCACTATTTATCAGTTGTAGATCATGGGAGGATATGGTTTTACATTTGTCAACATTTCGAGAGGGTTGAAAGATCATGGGACACATGGCAGTCCGAAATTTGGCCACGTGGAAATCACTGGAGTTGCCACATCAAGCTGCTGCATGCATGAAGAGTTCTGTAAATAAAGCACCCAAGGCTAGTTTGCAAACCCTGCCTACCCAGCACACAACACATCAATTCAGCATCTTTGCTATTCATGTATTTCTCATTTCAACAATGAATTTACATTATGTGTAAACCTAGCACTTTCCTAGTTCATGTATTTCTATTCCAGCAATGAATTTACATTCTTTTAAGTTGAGTCCAGCACTTTGCTATTCCATATAGCATTCATTCCAAGCAATGAATTAAGTCTAGTACTCTTTTGTTACTTCCAATCATGCACTTCAATTTTCTAAATTTCTAGTCATGCACTTCAATTCTCTAAATTTCCAGTTATGCACTTCAATTCTCTAAATTTCCAGTCCTGCACCTTAAATTACTTTAATTTCCAGCCTTGCACCTTCAATACCGTCTTCATTGCCATTGGCCATAGAGTAGTTTGAAATCCTTGTTCAAAGGCAAAAAAGACCCTTCAAAGGTGGTCATTCCAAACCTTCGTACAATCGCCTGATCCCTACAAATTTCCAACTGGATTACTGTTCGGATTTCCACTTTGGAACTACTGCAGTTCCTAGCATGCCCGTACAGCACTACAGCATTCCATTCCATTCCGCCTTTCCACGCCATCCGGAGGACGGAACCGGCGCCTCTTTTCGCGAGCCGAACATTATTGGCACGGTCGGTGGGACATCTAAACAGATTGTTCAATGGCCGGTGGAAGAAGGTAAGGCAAGTCTGTCCAAGACCCTGCCGAAATTGGAGAGTTGCAAGCCGGTGAACTTCCAGCTGAAGTTTCACAATTTGCACTTGACGAAAGTGACATGGTGGAAAAGTTTGCCCAAACCATGGCAAATGGACCTATCATGTACAACATCCGCATGATGGCTATGCAACAAGATAGGTTTGCGCAAGACCAAGCAAGAGTCGCCCAAGACTTAGCTAGAGTTGCGCAAGACCAATCTAAGGCTAGTTAGAATCATGCAATAGCTGCTCTAGTTAACGAGTGGAAGCTAGAAGAAATGGTAGACCGAATCTCTCAAAGGTTTGAGTTTATGTTGGAACGGACCCTTGGAAGCTCGAACCAAGGTTTGGCCCCTTGGCCAAACAATTCTGAAAAGACCCAACAGTCAGCTTTCCAACTCAATAGGCCGGTTACTTTTGTTGAAG